CGAAGGGGCCCCCGACCTAAGGAACGTCGTTAGGTCCTTACCTAAGTACGTTTAGAAACGGCTACGATATCGGAAAAAGATCGCGGCGATTAGCGTTCGTAATAAGGATAATAATATCGTTAACGAGGACGTTATAAATAAAGATAAGGATAGGATACGCCCCCGGAAAGGGCGCCCGAAAAAGAAACTACCTTAGATTTATATACTAGAGGTACTACCTAAGTTAAATAAGGTACGCTCCGCCTTAGCGCTAAGCGGCTCGTAAAAGGGCGAATTAAAGGAAGTATTTAAAGGCAAATAAGATACGCCTAAAATCGCGTCCCGAGAGAAGCTATATTATACTAATACGCTTACTACCGTATCGTAAAAGTAAAGCCATAAGTAAATAATATTAATAACGGCGGGCTTATTTAAGATAAACGAGAACGAACCGCTCTTTAAGGAGGTAATAGAAGGACTAGAGCGTAATCTTTAAACCTAAGCCGTTTTTAAAAAGATCCGAAAGAACCTAAAACGTAATACGTTTAAGTTTATATAGCCGAGCGAGGTAGTTAACGGCTATTTTATCGACGTTAAATGGATTTTAAAAAAGAAGTTCCTATCTAACGAAAATTTCGATAAATTAAAGGTACGGATTTACGCCCGAGGATTTATATAGAAAAAAGACATCGATTATAACGAAATTAAGGCGATAACGGCGAGGATAGCATCGTAAAAAATGCTAATAGCGTTAGCCGTTATTTATTAATAATATATCCTTTAGATCGATTTTATTACCGCTTACCTTAACGAAAAGCTAAACGAAAAAATCTTTATAAAGTAATTCCCTATATTAAAGGAATATTTCGAGGCTTATAAGAAAGAGAAATAAACTTATAATTACGACGAATCGAAGATTATCGAGCTAATTAACCCGTTATATAGCTTAAAATAAACTAAAGCCGCGTAATAATAACGTATAAGAGGTATCTTAAAGAAATACGGCTACGTTTTATTAACCTTAAACGACGTTATTTATATAAAACCCGGAATAAGAAACGTAATCGCTTCGTATATAAACGATTTCCTATTATTTAAACCTAAAAAGGAACGACTTTATAAGTTCGCGAATATAATTAAAGAGGATGTTAAGGTAATTAACCTAAGAAACGCTAACTAATTTCTCGGGGTCCGGATAAAACGATCGTTTCTTACGGAAGACGTCCGGCTCGATTAATAATAATATACGGAAAAGGCTTTAAAGGAACTTAATTACGGCGATACGAAGCCATATCCGTTACCGTATAACCCGAAGAATCGGAACGCGGTCGTACCGAAAGAAGCTAACGATAAAACCGACTTACGAGAGATTTAAAAGTATACTTCGTTAGTAAGAAAAGCGAACTTTCCGGTATATATTACGAAGCCTAATATTAATTACGTAGCCTCGACCTAAACGCGTTTTATAAATAACCTTTCATAAGAATATTAAACGGGAATTAAGCGCGTAATACGATATCTTAAGGGAACGGTAAGCCGAGGGATCCGGTATCGGTAATTAAACGAGAATTACCCTTATAAAGAATATAACGAAATAGGTTTCTACGGCTACGTAAATTCGAATTACGCGGAAGATATCTCTATAGCTAAGTTAACGAGTAGTTACGTATTCTTTATAGCAGGAGCTCCGATCGTATAAATATCGAAGCTTTAGTCGGTAGTCGCGCGAAGCTCGGGAAAGGCTAAGTATATAGCTTTATCGACGGCGGTAGTAGATACCGCGTAAATACGTAATTTCCTTACGGAATTAGGCGTAATACCCGTAGGCCTTATTACCTTACGATGCGATAATACGATAGCGAATACGTAGGTAAAAGAAACTACGATAAATAAATAAAAGCGGTATATCCGAAAGGACTATTATTACGTAAGGTAAGAAGTAAAAGAGGGATACGTTAAGCTAAGATACGTACCATTAGCTAAGAACGTAGCTAATAGGCTTACGAAGCCCTTAGAGGCGAAGGAATATTAGAGGTTTATTAAGTTACTATATCTAAAGGACCCGTAATAGCCTTAAATAAAATAGGCATATAGATAAAAAAACAAGGGAAAATATTACGGAATTAAAGCCTTACGTTATTTAAGAGCCTAACGATAACCTTACCTAGGCTAAGAAGGCGTATAGGCGCGTAAGTACGTAATCGGTTACGTATAGCCATAGGGTAAGCCCTACCCTAACGAGGGCTAATCGGGATATAAAAGGTACGTAAAACGGCTTTAAAAGGCTACGTAGATAACTGTAATTTAATTAACTGTTTACCCGTTCCTTAGATAGCCATAAAACGTCTTTCCATACGTGTGGAGAGACAATACGAGCTAGGTACCCAGGCACCCGCGATGACGTAGCGAGCTACATACCGGCCGGTGATATAGGTAGGCAATATACCGACGAGGGTGTTGTAGCCGAGCTCAGCAAACACAATGTGCCCAGGAGGGGCCCGTCATCTCGAGGCGCTCTCGAGCTACTGTTACTATGGCAATATCTCTCTCTCTATAGGCCGCTGCAGCCATTAGAAAAGGCTGTAAAGTCGGTTGAGCGCAACTGGTTATCCGACTCTTCTGATTGGCCGGCGGAGGGATACTTACTATGTGGTGCGTGAGCACGACAGTAGTTGACCCTGTATCCAACCTACTTTTACCCCAGTTGTCTCAGGCCGACGAAGGGGCTGGGTGGATGCAGGCGGGTGCGCACACCTCGGCCAGCCCCCATTCATTCCGTACCTAATGTATGGGCACACACTCGCTCCGGCTTTCCCACCTTATCCATCCGCTTATACCATACGCTGTCTCCCTCTGCAGACGAACTCGGTACTGTGACAGTGCAGCTCCACTCCGCAGGTGAGGTAGGGTGGGTGGTGAGCCGCGGAGGTTGAGCACGCTCTAGACAGGGGGGGTATCGCTGCGACTTAATAGCTCAGAAGCTTGCGGTTGTAAATAAGGTGTCCACCAACATCCATGTAGTACCACCTCACCTACTTAGGTACGCAGCAAGTAGGTACCTACCTCTTTTCTCAAAGCCCTCCATCCAAGCGAGCAACACCCCTCCCGCTCTACCCCGCCAAACCCCGCCCCTTTCTTCTCCCCTTCACCGTAGCCATCCACATGTATCTCTTCCCCCGAGGTCACCGGGATTGCCGCTGATAAGGAGATGTTGTATTGCCTCCGCATCTTCTACGGCATGTCTATCTTCCGTCTGGGCTGGGGAGCATCTTCTGCACCCTCGGGTAACCACCTCTGAGTGTGCTGGAATCTGCGAACGAATTTGCGAGCGTCCGCGGGCCAGGCGGTGGTCCATTGTGGCGTCCCGATCCCCTTGCCCCGGTCTGGTCTAACAAACTAATTTTTTTCGCCTTGGCTCAATACCTACGATGTATACTTAGTGTCAAGTTCTGCCGTCGCAAAGCGCACCCCTGGCTACTGGCAGATGTGATGCGCTCTTCACCCGCATGCTATATACCTCCTTATGCACACCTACCTAAGCACTAGCCTCAACTACCACGAGCAATATGCATGATGATACTATATAACAAATTGCTGTGTGCTATTTAGAGATAAGTTGTAGATGTCTACTCCGTTGAGCATCCTGCGAATGTATCTTCCACAATATCCCACAACACCGGATTTTCTTTGAATGTACCAGAGGGGGAGGAGGTGGGAGGTACCTATGTAGGCGCCTACCTACAGACGGCATTTCCAGGGTCTCACCCCCGAGGCCCAGAGTTGCATACATTTGCATACATTTATCGGCAGCCTCCAGGTATGTGAGGTTACCCTATTTGGCCAACTCGGACTGACTTTGGGAAGCCGTATTGGCTGTTTCATCCTAAGTACCAAGACGATTAGTCCTGAGAAGTCGAATTATTTTCTTATATTGTCCTTTCTGTGATGTGTTTATTATTATTATCGACGGCACCAACTAGACTCTCCCCCCCACATCCGTCATTCTATTCCACATGTCTACCTCTCTTGCCCCTCGCCCCTCTCGCGATGCTTCCCACCTCGAACTGACCTCACCCGATAAAGCGCTCACCTTGGGTTAGGTACCTCCCAGCTGAGCACCCAAGGTACGTGCCTTTAGTGGAACCTTGTTGACCAAACACTTCGTTGGGGGGGCGGGGAGGGGAAGAGAGAGGGGAAAACTGCCTATCCTCTGCGGCGAGGATGAGACGAAAACCGGAGGGGGGGGGAGTAATCCCTCAACACCTTTTACAGTATGGACTGCCACACATGGACCAAAAAAACACAGGTACCTATATATAAGTAGCTCTCGCCCTGCCACCACGTAGCGTCTATCTATGTCCGCTAAGTACCTGGGTTAGGCTCATAGAGGCAATTGACAGGTATACGTAGGTAGGCATTGTGACAACGTGATAGCCTCGGACGGCATGGAGTAGTGGAAGCAGCCGTTGGTGTCGACGCCGACCTCCGTCTAGGTAAGTACCTCCTAGCCCATCGGCAGGTACCTGGAATGCATGCACCCCCGCCGTCTGACTTGTAGGTACCTCTAGGTGGGTGCCCTCCGCCTACCTGACCTGGAGGTGCCTTAGGTACCTAAGGTAGGTAGGAGGTACCTACGTAGGTAAGTACCTCTTCATTATACTGCCCACCTACCTCATACCTATAATGCACAAGGTCTAGGTAGCATGCTTACCCTTAATGTGCGTTGCCTTGTGCAGGGGTGCTATACTCCAAGGGGAGATAGTTGGCACGGCATCACCAGCTATCTGAGGTCCCCTAACCTACCGACCTCCCAGACTCTCAATCCGAGGTGCCGCCTGACCAGCGCCGGACTTCGACCCAGCTTATTCAAAACCGCATTGAGAGTCTTGGCCCTCAGAGTCTTAAGAAGCCCGTAGTCTCCTCTTTTCTGGGTCGTTCTGCTCCTAGAGCTCCTCAAAATTTCCCTACTCCTTTCGCCTTTGCTCCCCTCTCCCACGTACCTCCTAGCCCCTCTATCTTCGCTGTCGCCGGCGCGATACCATACTGCCCAGGTGAGACAAAGGAAACCCTCCCGGATATATATGCCCAGTCGGATATATCCCAATGTAATGTGTTCTGTCTGCTGGTCACTGGTATTTCAATTTACTGCGACTGCTCCACGGCCCCATCGCACCCCACTCATTCCTATTCTCTGAGCTTACTTTACCTACGTAGTAGCTGCATTCATCTACGGGCAATTCCCACATCTGAGCGTGGACGAAGAAGAGAGCGAGAGCGCGCGCGAGAGAGAGAGGCATAGAGGGAGTTGGATTAAGCCGCAGCTCGCACTCCGGTCGTGAGCCCCCTCCCCCACCAACCCGTCCGTCGTCGACGTCAGGCTCAACAAGCCTGCCCCTCCCCCTCCTCCTACGTCACTCCGACGAGCTCTCGCGCGACTCTCGACGGCATAACCACCTGCCACAGAGCATCGCCCGTTAAATTCCCAGCTCTTCAAGATGGCTACCATGGATTTCCAGGACATCGAGGACATGGAGGCAGCCCGCAAGGCCGCGCTCAGTGACAACGAGGATCCGTTCGAGGAGGGTGCTGCGCCCAAGCCGGCCAAGACGACGCACCATATTCGCGCAAATAGTACCATTATGCACTTGAAGAAGTTGCTTGGTGCGTCGTGATCCCCGTCTCTTACTGCCTCCGAAATTCGATTTACGACTCCCCCAGTCGCGACCGTGAAGCTCGCTAATCGCTCTCTGATTTTTTGCGTATAGTGGCGAACCGAGGAGAAATTCGTAAGTAGAGCGATGTCGCGGCCGAGATGTCCGGTCTTTTAACTAACCCGTTCTACAGCTATTCGTGTATGGCCCCTTAAGTCATCTCAGGCCAATGTCTCAAATGCATTGCACACTGCTAACGACTAATTGCGGGGGTTTCTTCAACGTCGTAGATCTTTAGAACGGTATGTTGGCAGCACACGACGCTCGGTGCGAGGTGTCACGGAGCCTCGAGGGAAGGAAAGAGACAACACTAACAGGGCGGCCAGGCTCACGAATTATCTCTTCACACTGTCGCGGTATACAGGTGGGTTCGGAGACAGGGTCGTGTTGATTGTGTGGCGGAGGCTAATTCAAGCAGTTTCGAGGATCGCCTTAGCATGCACAGGCAGAGTACGTATACATGCATCCATGCCATGGGGGCCTTGTTCCATTGCTAACTTGGGGTACAGAGGCCGACGAAGCCTACATTATCGGTAAACGAGGCCAATATACTCCGGTCGGGGCCTATCTGGCGGGGGACGAGATCATCAATATTGCCTTGCAACATGGCGTTCAGATGATTCATCCCGGTAGGTCTCATGATTAGCGGCAACATGTGTGGCAATGGCTTCTAAACTGGATACGTTTACAGGGTACGGGTTCTTGTCAGAGAATGCCGACTTCGCACGAAACGTGGAAAAGGCCGGCCTCATCGTAAGTAACTATTCGCCGCTCACAATAAACGCGCGCCACTCTGCACAGGTAGAACCTCGATTAACAATGCCGGTTGGTAATAGTTTGTCGGCCCATCACCAGATGTTATCGACGCTCTCGGCGACAAGGTTTCCGCTCGAAGGCTAGCTATTGCCGCTAAGGTCCCAGTGGTACCCGGAACCGAGGGGGCGGTTGAAAGATTTGAAGAGGTGAAAAAATTTACCGACGAATATGGATTTCCCATCATCATCAAGGCCGCTTTTGGTGGCGGTGGCCGGGGCATGAGGGTGGTCCGCGACCAAGCGAACCTAAAGGAATCGTTCGACAGAGCCACCTCGGAGGCGAAAACTGCCTTCGGAAACGGCACAGTTTTCGTGGAGCGCTTTTTGGACAAGCCGAAGCATATCGAGGTCCAGCTCCTCGGCGATAACCAAGGCAACGTCGTCCACCTGTACGAGCGTGATTGCTCGGTTCAGCGGCGGCACCAGAAGGTAGTCGAGATCGCACCCGCCAAGGATCTTCCCGCAGAGACCCGAGACGCCATTTTGGCCGACGCTGTCAAGCTGGCCAAGTCCGTAAACTACCGAAACGCGGGTACTGCCGAATTCTTAGTGGACCAGCAGAACCGCTACTATTTCATCGAGATCAACCCCCGTATCCAAGTCGAGCACACCATTACCGAGGAAATCACCGGTATTGATATCGTAGCCGCTCAGATTCAAATTGCCGCGGGCGCTTCCCTTCAGCAGCTCGGCCTGACTCAAGACCGGATCTCCACGCGAGGTTACGCGATCCAATGCCGAATCACGACCGAGGACCCCGCCAAAAATTTCCAGCCCGACACCGGCAAAATTGAGGTGTACCGATCTGCCGGCGGCAATGGAGTCCGTCTCGACGGCGGCAATGGCTTCGCCGGCGCGGTCATCACGCCTCACTATGATTCCATGTTAGTCAAGTGCACATGCCACGGCTCAACCTACGAGATTGCGCGCCGAAAGATCCTTCGTTCCCTTATCGAGTTCCGTATCCGCGGCGTCAAGACCAATATTCCCTTCCTCGCGTCCCTGCTCACCCACCCGGTTTTCATCGATGGAAACTGCTGGACCACGTTCATCGACGATACCCCTCAGCTATTCGATCTCATCGGCAGTCAGAACCGTGCTCAAAAGCTTTTGGCCTATCTCGGCGACGTAGCCGTCAATGGAAGTAGTATCAAGGGCCAGATTGGCGAGCCCAAGTTCAAGGGCGACATCATCCTCCCCCAGCTTCTGGATGACAACGGCTCCAAGATTGATGTCTCCGAGCCGTCTCAGAAGGGATGGAGACAGATCATACTCGAGCAGGGCCCGAAGGCCTTCGCCAAGGCAGTTCGCCAATACAAGGGCTGTCTGTTGATGGATACTACCTGGCGTGATGCCCACCAATCGCTGCTGGCCACCCGCGTCCGGACGATTGATCTGCTGGGGATCGCTAAGGAGACGAGCCATGCTCTACACAATCTGTACAGTTTGGAATGCTGGGGAGGTGCCACCTTCGATGTCGCCATGCGCTTCCTCTACGAGGACCCATGGGACCGCCTCCGAAAGATGCGCAAGGCGGTGCCCAACATCCCCTTCCAGATGCTTCTGCGAGGCGCGAATGGCGTCGCTTACGCTTCTCTCCCCGACAACGCCATCGACCATTTCGTTGAGCAAGCCAAGAAGAACGGCGTTGATATCTTCCGAGTATTCGACGCCTTGAACGACATCAACCAGCTGGAAGTCGGCATCAAAGCTGTGCAGAAGGCCGGGGGTGTGGCTGAAGGAACTATCTGCTATAGCGGAGACATGCTCAACCCCAAGAAGAAGTACAATCTCGAATACTACCTGGACTTGGCCGATAAGCTAGTCGCGCTGGACATCGACGTGCTCGGTATCAAGGACATGGCCGGCGTCCTGAAGCCTCGTGCTGCCACCATTCTGATTGGCGCGATCCGCAAGAAGTACCCCGACCTTCCGATCCACGTCCATACGCACGACTCTGCCGGTACTGGTGTTGCTTCTATGGTAGCTTGTGCTCAAGCCGGCGCGGACGCTGTCGATGCCGCCACCGATAGCTTGTCTGGAATGACATCGCAGCCTAGCATAAATGCTATCATCGCATCACTCGAGGGTACCGACCTAGATCCCGGTCTAAACCCCGCCCATGTTCGCGCCCTCGACAGCTACTGGTCGCAACTTCGCCTCGTCTATTCACCGTTTGAGGCTCACCTTGTCGGTCCCGACCCCGAAGTCTACGAGCACGAGATTCCTGGCGGTCAACTGACCAACATGATGTTCCAAGCATCCCAGCTCGGTCTCGGCTCCCAGTGGGCCGAGACCAAGAAAGCTTACGAGCACGCAAATGATCTACTGGGAGATATCGTCAAGGTTACGCCGACATCCAAGGTCGTGGGCGACCTGGCGCAGTTCATGGTCTCCAACAAGCTCTCATCCAAGGACGTTGTCGATCGCGCTGGCGAGCTCGATTTCCCCGGCTCCGTCCTTGAGTTTCTTGAGGGCATGATGGGTCAGCCGTATGGGGGATTCCCCGAGCCTCTACGCTCCAGGGCTCTTAGAAACCGTCGCAAGTTCGACAAGCGGCCTGGCCTCTACCTCAACCCTGTCGACATGAGGAAGACTCGCAGCGACCTCGCCCAGAAGTGGGGTCACGTTTCCGAGACTGATCTGGCCTCCTATCTCATGTATCCCAAAGTCTTCGAGGACTACAAGAAGTTCGTGCAGAAGTTTGGCGACTTATCCGTCTTGCCAACCAAATACTTCCTCTCGGCACCGCAAATCGGCGAGGAATTCCATGTGGAGCTAGAAAAAGGCAAGGTCCTGATCCTGAAGCTGTTAGCCGTTGGGCCCCTGTCTGAGAACACCGGCCAGCGAGAGGTTTTCTACGAGATGAACGGCGAAGTGCGACAGGTTACCGTTGACGACAAGAAGGCCAGCGTGGAGAATGTTAGCCGGCCTAAGGCCGATCTCGGCGATTCTAGCCAGGTCGGCGCCCCGATGGCTGGTGTCTTGGTGGAGTTGAGAGTGCACGAGGGCTCCGACGTTAAGAAGGGAGACCCACTCGCCGTTCTCAGTGCCATGAAAATGGTGAGGCCAGGAATCGCTGACATGAAAACTGGGAGTGTGCTAATAATTTACTTTAATAGGAAATGGTCATATCGGCTCCGCACAACGGCAAGGTATCAAACCTTCAGGTCCGAGAGGGAGATTCTGTCGACGGGTCAGATCTAGTGTGCAAGATTACGAAATCTTGAAAAGCAGGCTAGGGGGGATCGTTTTCCTGTAGCTTTGGCGAATTTCAATAGTGGAGCAATGGCATTGACTGAAGAGGTTTTTTTTTCTTTTCTTACGGGTGGTGAGAGAGGATCTTCGGTTTATGACAAGAGATACTCGGGTCGGAGTGAATTCTCAGCATAAGCCTAAAGCTGCCTAAGCTAGGTATCTGAAAAGCAGCTGGCCAGAAAAAAAAAAAGAGGCGCCCAACTAGGAGTGCTATGGCGGGAACGACAGAGTTTCAAATGTAACAACATGTGCCTTGGGAATAGCTGCTCCTAGTGCTGCTACTATCGGTCTAACCAACTATCCCACGCCATTTGCCTCTTCACGTATTCCTTCCCTAGAGTGAGCGAGTAGGCTAAGTTACATACGCGCAGAACACGTTGGCTGGGTCTGACGTAGAAAGCTCCCGCGGCCGGGGCGCTCGCTACTCCAGGCCGGCGATCTCGTCGTCGTCGTCCAACTCGACGACGGGCAGCAGCGCCATGTGCAGCTTGCTGCTGCCGTAGGGCACGAAGCGGGCCTCGAAGGGCGCGGCGCCGGGGGCGCGGACGACGTCGAAGGTGCCGGGGTCGGCGGGGGCGTCGCGGACGACGGGCCAGCCGATCTCGACGGCGGCGACGCGGAGCTCGAGCGGGGGCGCGCCGAGGGACCAGACGGGGTTCGGGAGGCGGCTCGGGTCGCCGTCGCCGCCGCCGGGGGCGGGGACGACGCGGATGCGCCGCGGGTCGACGGCCACGTTCCACACCGCGCCGTCCCGCGGCACCAGCTCGTGGTCGCGGGCGCGGCCCCCCGCGTCGAGCGTCTCGGGGGGCAGCGGCCGGCCGGCGCGGTACTCGAGCGGGGAGCGCGCGGGCGCGCCCGGCGCCGGCTCGACGGCCAGCGCGTACAGCAGCGCGCCGTAGTAGATGCCGGCGGTGCCGTTGGCGCGGGGCACGACGCGCGGGGCGGTAGCGAGGCGGAGCGTCGCGGTGGTGGTGGTGGTGGTGGTGGTGTTGCCGGCGGCGGGGGGGGAGATGGGGATCCGGTGGAGGCCGCGCGCGTCGCGGGATACGGGGACAGGCGGCGACGACGACGACGACGACGACGACGACGGGGATACGCTGACGCTGCTGCGCCCCGCGTCGGCCCACCCCGGGATCCGCACGTACAGGTCGAAGGGCTGCTCGGCGGACACGGTGTATGTGATCGTGTCGCCGAAGGGGTAGGTGGTGTCGGCGGAGACGGAGACGGCGTTGCTGCCGCCGCCCGGCGCCGCGAGCGTGGCGCCCGCGCTGCCTGGGACCAGGAACACGTGCGCGAGCCCGGCGCCCCCGTCGGTCGCGACGAATGCGCCCGCGAGGAACTTCGGGTACGCCTGCGGGTGGTTGACGGTGCAGCAGGGCTGTCCGGACGCGCGGGAGCGGGGGTTAGTGGGGAAAGGGGGTAGGGAGAAGAGGAAGACCGAGAGGGGGGGGAAAAAAGGGGGGGGGAGGGGTGCGTACGTAGTTCGGCTCGAGCCCGAAGACGTTGGCGTACGAGTCGACGTCCCACCACAGCTCGTTGGTGCTGAGGTTGCGGGCCCAGGGCTGTATGTGTACTCGTACATGCGTACGACGGGTGTTAGGAGGGGCGTGCCGAGGGGGAGAGGGAAAAGAAGAAGAAGAAGAAGAAGGAAAACGCGCCTGGTTCTCCTGCTGGACGTACTGGTGGGACCACCAGTCGGGGGCGACGGAGGCGGGGAAGGCGTTGAAAGCGACCTGCTCGGCCCAGTCGGCGACGTCGTTGTCGCCGAGCTGGTGGTAGACGTAGGCGGCCGAGAACATGACCTCGGCCGCGATGCACAGCTCCGCGCCCCGGCTCGGGTTCCGGTCCGACACGTACTCGTCCGCCACGATCGTGCCCGCCAGCGACCGGTGGTGCGCCGACACCAGGTCCACCGCCTTGCGCGTCTGCCGCCGCAGCGCCGGGTCCCCCGTGTTGCGGTACAGCGCGAGAGGGTAGCGGAGGCCTGTCGTTGCTCGTCCGCGCGTCGGAGGTTGGTGGCAAGAGGTCAGCGACTGGGCAGACGGACAGGCTCCTCCAAGACCTTGAGCATTTTTCATCCTGCGTCCCCTGCCTTTTCTTCTTTTTTTTCATATCTTCACCCCCCCTCAACTCTTCCGGTGTTTCTCACCTTGCGCCATGTTCACCCCATGGATGAAAACCCAGCTCAGGTTGTACGGAGTGGTGTCGTATAAGACTTTCGGGAACGCCTCCTCCGTCCAAAACGTCCTCCAGTCTGCTCCCCACTGCGACACATACCCAGTTAGTCTCTCCTCTCTCCTTTTCTCTTAACTCGGGCGAAAGGAACTTCGAAGAGGGGAAACTGGAAAGGGGGAGCGGGTTAGGATAATACGAAATCACTCACCAGCACGCCCCCCTCGATCATGAGCTCCATGGTCTCCCAGATGACCTGCGAGTTGTTGCGCGGGTAGCGCTCGAGGAGCCACTGTAGGGGGATGTGCATCTCGTGGGTGCGGCCGACGCCGAACCCGGCCGTGTCGAACGTGTCGTTGCCGTGCACGAGGAGGCCGGTGAAGTTATTCTTCAGCACTGCAAAAAAAAAAAACGCGACAGAGTGAGCGGCCCAGCCACAACCGCGCGACCGTGCGCGAGAAGACAAAGGGGAGGAGGAGGGGGGGGAACAACTCACTGCTGTGCGCCAGGACGACGTAGCGGTGCATGGCGTCGACGATGCGCTCGGTCTGGGCCGGGTCGGCCTCGGCGTACTGGACGAGGCCGAGGAGCAGCAGGCAGCGCGCCCAGAGCCCGCGCGTGGCCCGCGTCGTCTCGAAGCCGATCCAGCCGTCCGGCTGCTGGTGGTCGAGGACGTAGTCGAGGTAGTACCGCGCCTGGCCGAGCAGCCGCGCGTCGCCCAGCCCGAACGCGAGCGGCACCACCCCATTGAACCAGTACGGCGACGCCTCGCTGCTCGCAGGTGGCCGCGTCGTTAGTCTGAGTTTGGTAGCAGCCCAAACCCCGGTACCGGTTCGGGCTGACAGAGGCGCCCCAGGGGAGACAGGCGGCCTCGCCCCCAAATACAGGGAACACCTACTCGAGCCCCGAGTACTCGGTCGACCCCCCAATGTACCGCGAGTCGTGCACGAAGCGGTAGAAGTCGAACATGTTGCCCGACAGCCCCGCGGCCGCGAGCTCGAGCTGGTCCTTGAACCAGCCCAGGGGCTTGATGGAGCCCAAGTCGAGTGTCCGGAACACCGGCTGCGTGACTGAGAGAGAGGGAGGGAGAGATGGTAAGGTTAGCCAGATGGGATCTATGGGAACACCGCACAACCTATAACCACGCCAGGTAGGTTACGTACGAGTCGTCCCATTCTGATACGTCGACCCGGGAGAGGAAGAAGAAGCAGAAGCGAGCACTTCGCCAGCCGCAGCCGCCACCACGAGCGCCGCGGCGCCGGATCTGAGAAGCAGCACCATGCCGAATATCAGGGAGAAGCAAGCACAGGAAGTAGAGGAGGCCCAGAACAAGGATGAGGAGAGGGTGGGACAAAAGGAGGTAGGAGGAGCATAGGCTGCATTACGTCTCCCCGCTTGGATGCTCGAGCCAGAGGGCGCCTGAGTCCCTCATTATATATATGTGTGTGTGTTTGCGTGTATCTACCAGTTGCTAGCCGCCTACCGAATCCGTAAATTGATAGGTAGGTTCATGCCTCTTCTCTCCCTCCGGGCTTCGCAGGCCGGTGTACGAGTCGGCACCTGACCCCGTGCCCGCGTATACGACATGTAGGTGGTGGCAGCACAGCACGGCAGCACCAACAGCAGCAGTGAGTGATGGACGATCCAAGCCCGCCTCGGAAGAAAGCAGCGTGATAGATAAGGCGAGGGGAACGCGAGACGCCGGATATGCGAGCCTATCGGAGTCGAATGATGCCGTTCTCCAACGTTGCCGTCACCCTGCAAGGTCGTAGTATATGGGGGTGAGAGCAGGGATATTATGACGAGAGGGTAAATTCGTATGAATATAGCCTTGATAAGCCCAGTCTTCTTGAATCCGGCTCTCCCAAGCAGCAATGTCGAGCGATAACAAAGTCGAACAAATGGATCATTTCTCCTCGCACGGTCTGAAGAGCCTCCAGACTTACCTGTGTTATTCCAATCCACGATGCAGACCTGCGAGAGAGCAGGTCCTGACCCGTGTGTAGTCGAGCTACATTTTTTTTACTCATCGCATGTGTAAGCCGCCAACTCGACATTGGCACCAACATCTCATTGTACTATCATACAAATACAAATAACGTGATCCCGTGATGGCTAGATATCCGACTTGGGGGATTTGTCGGGACATTAGCCTTAGTTTTGCGTCTGTTACAAGCAAATCCTCCAGCAATGAGAGAGGTCTCGCCCTTGGTCTCAGTCGAGAGATCCTGTGGGCCAACTCGCATATTACCGTAAATTCCACCAACTTTTTTTTCTCCATGACGACTCCATGAACCCGTCAAGATTACCCTTAGTAGTCCAGCCGTGCCACCCGTACGGCAATAATTAGACAGCCGGGCTTAAATGGAAGAATGTAGAAGACGGGGTTAACTTGTCTTGCGGCTTCAGATAGTGCGATATCCCGAACTATCGGGGACAGCGGTATGATCATAGCATGGCACCTAATACGACACCATCTAGAAGCCAAAGCCGGTAGGTTGAGGGACAAACCCGTTGCTCTGTCCGAAAGGCGCCGGGGATGCTCTTCCAGTGCTAGCTGCAGGTCCAGCAGTGATCATCAATCGATTACCAAGAATCGGAGTCTCATCTTCATGTTTCTCCTGGGCAGTCTCCTTTGCCTTCCTTGCTTCGTTGTCTGCCTTCAGCGTTGCAATTTCCTTCGTCTGCTGGGAGAGAAGATTGATCATGTACGGCATGGTGAAGTCGTTCAACCCGTGACGCCACGAGAGCTCTAGGATTATATCGGGCCGGATGAGATCATAGCATGCGTAGAGCATACCAACATAGCATTCGCGGCTACCAATGTCGACAAACTACGTAGAATTGGTCAGTATTAATAAGCAGCGTTCTTGGGAGGGTGTGAGAAGGCTTACGTAACGGAGTAGCTCCTCGACAACGTCCGATTTGCCAGAGATGGCAGCGGTTTCGATAGCATCCTTGTATAGCTTGTCCTGCTTCGACAGAGCGATGGACTTTTCCCACCTCTTGGTTTTGCGGTAGATGTTGGCTGCGATCTGTCGGAAGAAGACCAGGTCGTGCTTCTCCAGACGCGAGGCAAGTTCGACAGCATCGTAGTTGTCATAATTTTCAGCCGAATCCCGCAGGGTCTTGTAGTCTTCCTCCTCGATCAATAGATCGTTGATGGCGTCGTTTACCGTCCGTTTATTCTGAGTCTGGACGTTGAGCAAGAAAGGCTTGATCAGCGGCAGGTTGTCGGACTTCTGGAACATCCGCACGACACGGTTGACGTCGATGCGAGGGGTAAGGACTTGGAGGAGATCGGTCAAGAGCGAGGGGTGCTGCTCCAGGTAGAAGTTAATAGCACGGTAGTAGATCTCCAGATTAGCGACCTTAACGACGATCTCCTTGAACTGCTGATGTTCCCACGAGTTCTGCGCACGCTCCATCACGGCCAGCGCCGCATTATCAAACTCGTCGTAGTGGAAATAGCAGAAGACCAGCTCCGGCCACAGGTTGGCCTCCTCACACGCGCGAATCAATTTGGGAAGATTCATCCTGCCCCAGAACAATTTGATGTGCTCCATGAGCCTGTCCGGATGGTATCTCGAGAGGGCGATCCCCAATTCGGTGAACATCCCCATGTGGGCCCGTTCGAGGCCGAGACCCTGCTCAAGAAGATCAATGAGCTCGTCGAAGTAGCCCTCGCGTTCGTACTGTTTCACGAGAGCTTGGAGCTGCTCGGCATCGACGATCAAGTTGAGACCACAGATCCTGGCGAGCCGGAATTCCTTCTTAGCAACGCATGCCCCGTGAACCTGGTTCCAGACCTTGATATTATTGGCTTTGCGCGCACATTCGACGGCTGCCTGGTAGTCCTCAAGGTGAACCAATGTTGTGGCAAGCTTCGACCAGTTGGAAATGCTAGTATAGAAGATCTTTGCAGCCTGGTGAAGGTTCTCTTCGGCAGCCTTGTCGCCAGACTCTTCGATATTAGCAACGTTTGTACCCCGTAGGAAATCTTCTAGCTCGGCTAGCTGATCAAGACGAGCATAGGAGAACGCAAGAGCGGTGTCGATAGGGGGTTCTCGGAGGTGCTTTCGCGCCATGCGAAGATATTTAACCAGCTCCTCGTCCTTACCAGCGTGTGTCGCCACCTCGATGACCTCCACATAGTTCTGGGGGTCGTTGGCCCGGATGTATGATTCGATTGCATCCGCGACACGGAGACCGTCGAGTTGAGCCTTAGCAACTTTGCTCCAGACCTCCGGGATATCCACATCCTCGGCGAAGGCGCTGGCACGGTCGATACTAACAACGTGCTCAACTAGAACTTCCACAGCCTTCGTCTTCTCGCCAACCTTCTTGTATGTCTCAAATGCCTCCTCGTGAAGACCGACGTCAATGCATAGCTGTGCGCACTCCTCGGGATTAAACGCGTCCAGGCGATGGATATAGTCCATAACTCTGCCCTTATCGGCTCTAGCTGCGGTGAGGATAAGTAGGTTTTGCAAGCTCGGGTTGTCATTAAAGGGCGAAGGCTCCAAGACTATCTTCTCGAGAAGCTCAATGAGCTCACCCGGGAGGTCGGCTTGTAGGAAAGAGGCAACGGCCTCGGAGACCTTTCCTGGGTCGGTGCACTCAGGCACAGCAGTCGCGACGACCTGATCAATGACAGACCTGCGATGAATATTGTTCTCGCTAAGGACGAACGCCCACAGTTCCCGGTCCGCACGCTCTAGGACGTAGCGGGCCTGAGCGCGATACATCGAGTTCTCATTCGTAATGTTGATCAGTTCTAGATCGTTCTGCCCCTTCTGGTACGCAATGAACGCGAGATTCGGATCTCGTTTCTCACAGTACTTTCCGACGCTAAGGGTATCATACTGATCATTCTCCTTGAGAAACTTCTCGGGGTTGTTGTTAGAGTCGATATAGATCTTGGCGAGCGCGTTGAAGATGGCCTGCTGCTGGTTACCGGAAGCGAGAGTAGCCTCCAAGAAGGGCAACAGCAGCTTCAGGCGATTCCGGGACTCGACCTGCTGCACCAACGCGTCGATAGGAATTGATTCGGGGTTGATGGTGGTGAGCAGGTTCTTGATCACCGCCTCGTCACAATCCACGTCAAGCAGACCCCCGATGACTTCGGGAGTTCTAGTAGGGTTCACGCGCTGAACATAGACCTCGATCGCATTAAAACGCTGGTTCTGGTACAGGTACAGGATCAGGTCGTGGACGAAGTTGTGCCTGTCGCAGACGATAATCAGAGGAAGCATCTCGGTAAGCTTGGCCTCCTTGAGAAAATTCTTGACCTTCTCCGGATTGTAGAAGTTGCTATCTCTACAAATCCGCTCGACCTCGTTGAACTGGCCCATCCGAGTGGCCGACTCGATGTACTTGAAGTGGACGTCGGCATCTTGGGATAGGTTGACGATGCTACCGAGGTAGTAGAACAGGCCCTCGTGGGTCTTGTACTTTTCGAAGAGATCGATGAGATTGGTGGGGCCGAGCAATTCAGAATACTTCGTAGCCACTTGGACAACGGACTGAAGGTTCTGGCGGATATTAGCCTTCATCATCGCGTCCAAGCACTCCAGAGACTGCTCCACGGAAAGCTGGCCGAAATAGTTGACCAACCAGTCCGGGTTGAAGTTTGCAGTGCCGGGAATCCCAACGATAACCCGCTTGATCGCTGCGGAGTCTTCGTAGAGTTCCAACGCCTTTTGAAACAAGCCAGTCTGTTCGCAAAGGTTTGCAATCCGAGCCTTGTCGAAATGAGAGAATAGGTTGTTGCCAAGGATTGCGTCCGCGACCTGGGGGGCATTCATCAAATTCATCTCCAGAAGTCTTGTCTGTAGATGGCCGTGCTCCGGATGATTATCTTTCAGTACCTCGAGCAGGAATGCCGTGGCCTGCTGAACCATGCCCTGTGCTTGGAAGACGTCGACCACGCGTTCGATATCGACCAGGGGGCCGCCTTGGTGGTTTGCCAAGGTTGTTGCAAATTCCGCACCGCGCTCTGGATTCGTCCGCACAATATGCTGGAGGAGGGTGATCCAATCCGGTTGGTAGCCAGTTTGATCGCAATAAGGCAAAATCTTGTCAAACTGGCCAAGCTCCGCAAAGGAAGCGACTACCTTGTGAGCAGCATTGGCCTTGAGGTAAACGGCTAGAGCAAAGTTCACGTCATATGGTCGAATCAGGTCGCCGAGCTCCTCGGAAAAGTCCAGCTTCCCATCCTTAGCCCACTTCTCGAGAAGATGCTTGCGACTCTGCGACAAGACCGGCGGGGCGAGCTCCAGGGTCTCGGTCTTGTTGAGCGGCGTAGTCTTATCGAGAAGCATGCCAAAGTACAGAAGGATATACGACACCTTGCCGGCCGGGGGCAGATTCTTGAACTTGTTGATCGTCTCCGTAGTTCGCAGGAAACCTCTAGGCGAGTTAGCCGCGACCTTTGCGGCACCCTCGTAGTCACCCGAGTTGAATAGCTGGTCGAATTGCCGGGAGTAGAGTTGGTCTGCACCGGGAAGGCCGGCTCGGGAGGCCATCTTGATGGCAATCTCGGTATTCGCCGGGTTTTGGAGAAGGTAATCCACAATGGTAGATTCGTCCACTGACACAAAGAGTACCTGGCCCTTTCTGTTAATGCCGAGTATGCCGGTGGATTCAGTATCGGCGCATGTTGTGAAGATGGTCTCGCTCGAGATCCGATTCATGAAGAGGGTCGTTCCGGTTTCCAGGTCGTAGAGGTGGATGAAGCCGTACTTGGTAACCATGTAGATGATACCGTATTTCTGCGATACTTGCATGGCGACCGGGAAATCATTGGTGGCTTCGGGGGGGAAGAAGATGTCGACAGCTTTCTTCTGGAACGGTTTGTTGCCTTCGGGGTGGTCGATCTCGACGATGTGCAGCTTGGCGCCAGTAGCGGTCCGAACAGCGAAAGAGAAGACCTTGGTATCAGCCGGCTCGCCCTCCAACCTGAGGGTGCCGAACGTAGCGGCATGGCCCTCTATCGCTTGGCTGATGCCTCTATCCTTGGAATAAAGCTGCAGGCTACCGACGACGCGACCTTGCTGCTGGGAAATGCCAACAATTGCCATCCATTTACCTTCGCTATTGGTTCGATAGTTGATGATTTGGCAGCCCTAAGGCGGCAGGAAGTCAGCGCACAAATTGCAAGCTTGTCTACGTGAGAGTGTCTGGAACACGTACGTTCAGGTTAGCGTTGCGCTTGAAGACCTCAACGGGGGCAGTTTGGCTATTGTCGTAAATGTCCCAGTGGAACACGGCATTGTCCGTCACTAGTCCCAGCGTCGAGTCGCTGATCCACTTCCAGAAGACGACGTCTTCATTCATCGTTGCCGACTTGAGCTTCGCCTTCTTGTCCAGATCGAATATCTGCAGCGTCCTCGACTGGGCCCGGAGGGCGATGATCTGCTTCGACCAGTGCATGATGGCACTGTCGGCCTTGATCGGCCGGCGTGTGACATTGTTTCCCGACTTGAGGTCGACGATGACGACTTCGGGTTGCGCCGTCTCGCTCTTCTTTTCTCGTATGCAGATGAAGTGGTCGGATTCCAAGGTCTGGCGGGGATGAAGGTCAGCTCGACACCTACACGGCGAAGGGGAAAACGGCAACGACGGCAGCAGGGACAGCTTACACAGGTGTTGAATCCGATGGCAGAGTTGTCGACGCCGACACTGGGAAGCATCAACACCTCCTGGAATGAGATGGGAAGCGGCGCCATGGTTCAAGGCCACATGGGTCGGTCGGGAAGGTGATTATCGGAGCGCAGACGCGGTTTCGATGCCCAAGGGACGATGGGGGCGAGGACGGATAGATATGCCAGAAGTGGTGCAACTACGTTTCGGTCTGGCGACGAGTGCTGCCCGGTGGATACGATTGTGGATGAGTAGGAAAACCCGCCAGAGGTGCGAAGAAAAGGGGGGGTTAATGAAGGTATTCGACAAGACGCCGTACTGTAGAAGAAACCTGTAGGGACGAATCGGTATTGTGGCCGAGAAGCAGAGGCGGATAGGGGGACGAGATGGCAGGGCGCATAAGAATTGCCAATGACGGTTGGGACGGGCGGCGATCGTACAAGACGATTAGGCCGAAGCAGGTATTGTATAGTACAAGAGATGGATGCGGTAGGCTGGTTAGGTCGGGTCAAGACAGGTGGGCGAGGAGGAAAAGAAGGAAAGGTGGTTGATTCAGCGGTGGTTGTGAGAATTTCCAGGAGGAGACAAGCGGATGAGTGCGGGAAGCGCGTACACACAGTGCAGATGCAGTCCAGGGTAGGAGGTACCTAAGGCTAGGTACCTCCCCTCGTAGCTGCGCTGGAGACGCCGGCAGGCAGGCAGGCAGGCAGGTAATTTGCCATGATCCTCTTTTTTTCCTCGAGGGAAGTTACGGGCTACCTGTTCGCAAGGAGCACCTACCTACCTCAAGCGGCAACTCAGCATCAGCAGAGGTATAGAGTATAGCTTAAGCGCGGTGCACGGACCACCACATAGAGATAAGACGCGTAGAGACGAACAAGAGGTACATCCTCGTATATGACGATGACAACAACGACCGAAGCCTGCAAGGTTGGGTACCTACACCTATAACCCCCTACAGCTATTGACCTGAAGATTTGATTCAATGGAGCGGCATGTCCATCCCATGGACGGCACCTAGGTAGGTACCTACTCATAAGGTGAGAATGCCAGGTAAGAGGTACCTACTACCTCCAGGCAGGTACCCTAACGTCCCTCTGAACTTTCATGTGTAATTATCCTTGATTACATCAACGTAAGCAAGATTAGACCAGGTCAGGGATGCAAAGGCTACTGCATGTACAGAATTTACAGCTCTGCATAGGCAGATATTTACGCAGGTCCATGCATCCATATACACATCCAGCACCTGAGGCTCGGTACCTATCTCTCTACTAGCAGACAACTTTTGCTCACACAATGCCATGTGCCGATACGGCAGTGCCTAGCAGGCAGCATTCCCAACGCAAGGGACGAGGCCGCTGACCGTCCAGCACGAGAGCCTCTGGCGATATGCGGGAAAGTAGGGAGGTAGCAAGTCCGGGCCGCTCTCCCTTCGCGCAATCAAACATTTGGCGAGGCGCTCGAAATAAATCAACGCCTCATATACCTACTGGTATATCTTCCAGCACCAGATACCCATGCGTAGAGAGTCTCGACACCCACAACGACCGCACGATCGCTACGAGCACCCGCTACCGAACATAGCAATCATGATAGTCCTAGAGAGAGGCGTGACTCGGGCCAGACAGGTCCAGTCGAGAGACGCTCATAAAGAATTGCCGCGTATACAACGTGCGCGTATGTACGCTCAATCATTGCGCTCCTTCCCATCGCCCTCGAGAGGGTCGAGAAGCACCGCACCCAGATTGCTCGTTAGGAGTTTGGTCTCCATTCTGTCCGAGAACTTCGGTGGTCGTGGGCCGCCGCGTCGTTAAGAGACAGGATACCTCGCACCAAATATCGCGTCTCGAGAATGTGAAGTTTTTTTGCGTTGTTTTGGATGAAGAGGAGAAAAGAGGAGAGGGAAATCCCCAGTCCCGCGAACAAGAATATCAGAAATTTTTCCAGAGGGGCATGCTTGCCCAGCCACAGGTTGGTGGCCCCGTAGGCAAGCCACAAGAGGTACCTTAGGTACCTAGCCCAATAAAGTTACACGGGTACCTACCTAGGATGCTTCTTAGCGCATGTGCAGGGAAGCTCCGAGCATCGCGAGGCCGCAAGCCCCGTCGGTCCCCCATCCTCCGTACCCTTCCGGCCAGCCATCCCGCATGGCATAACTAACGCGCCCAACTTACGAGCCGCCCTAAGGCAATAAATAATCGCAACTTTTCGCACGCTTTTCCGACACACGAGACGCTAGACATGGCGGGCGTCACCGGAAATGCGGTTCTATCAGTGCCCAAATTCCTGCTCCCGCGTCTAAGCTGGACGACAGGTCCGATCGGGCCTCCACCAGCGCTTCGGGCCGCGACTTTTGTGCCTCTGCAGAGGCGACGACTGTGGCAGGCGTGCAGGACAGCCTCGCCATTCCACTCGTCCCCCAAGCTCCCCGAGTGCACTCCGAGAACGGCGGCGGCGGGACCGTCCCTGCTCCTGCGAAACCTAGGCTGGAGGCGGGCATTCCACACCACGGCGCCGCGGGGCCGCGATCATCACTTCGACACGCTAAAGTTCGTCCAGCGGCTGCAGAGCGAGGGGTTCACGGAAGAGCAGTCGGTCGCCATGATGAAGGTGCTCAACGACGTGATTGAGGAGAGGTAGGTACCGCACCGCGCGCTCCCCTCCCCCCCCTCCCCCTCTCCCCCACATCATCCCGCCGCGCCGTTCTGCGGCTGGCGGAACCGCTTCCCCCCCTTTTCCCGTCCGTCACAGTCCCCCCCCCCAAAAAAGCCCTTGCTTATCGCGTGCCGGGGTGGCGGGGGACGATCGCGGGTGTAGCATCCAGAACCTGACGCGGACGATGGTGCTGCGCGAGGACGCGGCGAAGGCGACGTACACGCAAAAAGTGGACTTCGCGCAGCTGCGGTCGGAGCTGCTGTCGGCGGACAGCACGGAGTCGAACGCGACGCGGGCCGCGTACGAGCGGCTGACGAACGACATCACCAAGCTCAACAACCGCCTGCGCGACGAGATCGGCCGGACCCAGGCGTCGGTCCGGCTGGACCTCAACCTCGAGAAGGGCCGCATCCGCGAGGAGGCCGTCAGCCAGGAGCTCAAGATCAAGGAGACCGAGACCAAGATCGAGCAGGAGGTCGCCGCCCTCCGCGAGAAGCTCGAGCAGGTCAAGTTCCAGACCCTCCAGTGGCTCATGGGCGTCTGCACCGGCTTCGCCGCCCTGCTGCTCGGCGCCTGGCGGCTGCTCATGTGATCCTCGGCCCGGGAGTTGCTCTCGAGGCCGAGCGACCAAAAGAGTTCCGGTAAGGGGCGAGCCTTTCTGCGAGGATCGCTAGCATCAACACACCGCGCCATCTTTAACCAGAGGGAGAGGAGATAATGTGCTTGCCTGCTTACGCGTCCAACGGAGCCCGCCCTAAGAGGCGGCGGAATGTTAAGCGTTCTTTGTAGCGTATCATCAATTGCACGTCTAGACATACCCACGCCTAGGTATGCCTATTGCCGATAAACAAACACCTTTTGATGCCCATGATCTGCGTTACGGCTGCCAGGCTGCTGCATCGTGAACACGACATTAGCATCCGTCGCACTTGTAGTCGTGTATATATGTCTCCATCCACGGATCAATTATTCCACGTGGTAATTTTAGGCCTCCATCCAAACTATCGGCAATCATTCATTCATCTCTCGTCCATTTACGCTCGTTTGACTCCTCGCTTCATTCACACCGCCATCCCATGCTCGACCATTAGCTACCGGTATCCCCTCTCACTTCACTTTACCCTTACCCCACCTAGTAATATGACCCAAGGTGAGCTTCGTAAATCCGGCGTCATACGCCAACAGGCATGGCTAGCCAGTGGGCTATTATATCTCTAGCCTGTCTACCTAGAAGCACGCCACGCTAACCCGCCGGAAGGACGCCTGGCGGTGGAAGTGGAAGGGGGAGATGGACATTCGTTCTCCTCCCTCCACATCTATCTATCCACGCCCGGAGAGGGCCGCGGCGATCACTCCCTACGGAGACCACAAGCTTACCTATCATTTAGACACGGAGCTTTACGGCCACGCAAGATTTGGGACTTGGTATCGCTCAATTATTGACAACTATCGTTTACTTTTTGAAAAACTAACATGAGTGGGAGCAAAAAATTCTCTTACGATCAAAAAGTTCCCAAGGAACAAGAGTAGACGACGAATGCTATTCCCAGATCTTTCCAGAAGCTCCGCTCTCCATCATGCCTTTCGTCCCCCTTCGTGAACCGTGTGGCGCGCGTTGTATGTGCGTAAATGAACAACAACTGTCTAGAACTACCGGATTTCCTATGCGATCGTTCATACTTCGTTAAGCGGGAAGAAACCCGCACAAGAAAGTCTAGACTCAACTCGGTTTTCCCTCCTCCCCAGGTAGAGGGATGAGTCTCCTTCGGCTCGTCGTACCGTACGCATCTGCACATATGAGCAGACCTGTTCCATCAGCAACAGGAGGGGGAAGACGAAGGGACATAGTAATAGTAAAGGGGATGACCGCTAAACGACCGCAAAACGACCTTTCGCAGCCAACGCATTCATACCAGCCCAACGGAAACTCCTCTTCTGCTAAAATTTCCGCATCTAGGAGAGACGGGGACCCTGTTAAAGATGGGTTATTATGCTGTGAGGCACTACCATGTCGAGTATCCGCTAATCGTGTGTGTGTGTGTGTGTGTGTGTCTCTCTCTCTCTCTCTCTCTCTCCAATCCAGTGCCCTACTCGATTCGTGGTGGAGTGCCGTTGGGGGTTAGTCGTCGCCGTTCTCCCTCCTTGCGTAGCGACTCGATTATCTTAAGCATTTCCTTTCGAGCTCCTGTACTATCGATAGCTTTGTGGGCCATGCTCATGGAGATTTTCTGCCCCGCGTTAACGGATAGGAGGCGTTTGATGAGTAGATGTCGCATTATTATGCAAACAAAAACTCCACAGTCGCTTCCGTTCTCCTGTTGTGGACAATCGGGCAGATGGTGGAACCTCAGGGGCTTGTTCAGTACGTTGGACAGGCGTTTCGATGCCTCCCAGGCTTCAGCGATGTTCGCCCCGTCAAGCGAGTCGTAATGGAACGCGACGCCATCGAGTATACTCACGAGGAGCAGTGACCAATGACTACCGCCTTCGGCCTGGCTGACATTCCGGTTGTCGTTGATAGGCAGAAATATGTGGGTGATTTGTCGAAAATCAGGTAGGGCAGTCCTAACCATCTCCGTGTCCTTGTTCTTCATAAGAAGAAATGTCATTGAGGGGCGCAGTAAGACGATGTGGGCCTGGGGGTACTTCGCGAGCACCTCTCGTTCCAAAAACTCCTCCCAGAAAGCAATGTTCTACACCGGAGGCTTTACGTTAGCATAGGTTCAAAGGTGGCCTGGTTTTCACCGTGGGGAGACATACATTGTCAGTTAACCAGTCGTTCCTCAGCGCCTTGACATCTTCGTAAGTTACTTTTCATCGCGAGTTAGTTTTTATCGTGGGTCAAGCCTGAGCTACCAGGGGAGGCATACGGAGGATATCGTGGTCTAGGAAGTCTCTAGTTAGCAAACGCATCGGGAGCAAGGTGGTAGGCAAGAATGTAGACGCTTACACGATAGATAGGGCTGCGTAGGCAAGGGCGATGGCGATAGCTGCTTTCTTCTTGAGCGCAATCGGCGAGAAGGGCTTCTTCTATGGTGGGGGCTCACGCTGTCATTCAGACGCCGAGCAAACCTCTGGCGAAGCGTCATGGGTAAAGACCTGTGACTGATGTACACTTGTGGAAGGTTGTTGGCGAACGTGTTCTAGTGCGATGGCCCAATTCTTAGGTTCGCGTACTGGCCGGTTCTCTTCTCCAGGCACGAGGCCTGTTTGTCAGAAGAACAAGGTACGGGACGTCGAGGATGTGGGGTTGTAGGGTGCGCTTCGATTTCGGTGTGTGGTCGAGGAAATGCGGTGATGGTATAGTGATGGTATCTCTATGATTAATCGCAAACACGAGGAGGCGTTAATGCTATAACTGATACGTTAGAGACAGTCGTTAAACAAACGGGTCTAAGACCATTAGGAGTAGGCAGGGATGTTACAGAGGTAATCCGCGGGTTATTCTAGGATGCCGCCGCGAGTTTGTGTAGGCGTATTTGTCCTCTCTCCTCGCGAGTAGGCTGCAGTGCTGTCTTTTTTCTGGTAAGGAAAAACGAAGGTACAGCCTGTCCTAAATGGCAACAGGCGAGCTTTGGGAATGGCCGTGTAGGGATAGCGGGCTGGGGACAAGACGCGATGCGAGGAATGCAGGAGGCGGATAGAGAGGGATCGCGAGCAAGAATGCCGGGAGGCACGGAGTGGTAGGGCAAAAAGGAGTCGGCGAAGTAAGCTCCCTTTTGAGTGGGGGAAAGGGAGCTTCCAAGGTCAGGTTGGGGTTGACCAGAGCACACACACGATACCGACCGACCGCGTTGTCTTGTTGTTTGTCGGCAGATATGTGTGTGCTGATCAGGTGTTGGAAAAAGCGGGAGAAGGATGTAGGTTTAAGTTGAGGCGGCGGCAGGGGGAAGGGTGGATATGGAGACGGAGGAGTCCAGGTCAGGCTGGGCGGTAGGCGAGAAATCGGATCAGGTAATCAACTTCATGGTCCCCGGAAGCGAAACTGGGGCAGAGAAGGGGATGGATATTAGCCAGACCGATTTTTCAATAATAGGATGGGAAAGAGGCCGGAACGGCGGGGAGAGGGGACTTGGACAAAGCGACAAGAAAAGGCGGCTGTACCGGACGGAAGTGTACTATTAGGTACATGGCTGGCCGATATTACGCCTAGCACGCCCATATATTAAGCACCCGCAGATGGTTGCGTGCTCCCGACGGGTATGCTGCTAGCCAGTATCACACCCGTACCGGAAATCTATCGTAGTGAGCTAAGTACCTGCTAGCTAACCTATTAGCCACCGAACCCACTAGCTACCTCCTATCTAACCTACTACCTAGGTAGCGACCTACCTAGGATATAGGCAGCTCTCCGCATCCTGGAGAATGCCGCCCACCTATGCCAAGCACGATAAGAAAGCGACGACACCCAACCCAGGCAGACACGAACTAGAAAAATATATCACACACACACACACACGCCAGACACCAACACCGACGCCTCACATGTACTTACGTGGCAAGGGCCAGAGGTCGGGTGCCAGCCAGCCCTGTCCGGTCCCCTTCCGTGACAGCGAGTGGTGCTCCTGTAATTGCACGTATCTTCTGTGGAGGCCGCCCTACATAGGTAGGTAACCCCCCCCCCCCTTACTCCCCTTCAGAACCAGGAGATGAGGCTGTCCATGCAAGATGACGAATCGTGGAGGCTGAGTGCCAGCAGCAGCAGCAACACCAAAGTCCCATTGCCACCCTCTGCGGCCGGCAGACCATCGGCATCAAGTAACCCCAAGGCCTACTCGAAGCTTGTAAACGTCGCAGGCATGCGCCCCCGACAGATAACACCCATGCAATACGTCACATTTCATCAGCCATGTCCAGGGACTTGATCCACCATGTATATCTCTGCCTCTTTGCCTCCTACGCACTGTTTTTCTCGGTACACCGCAGCACATATGAGTAAAACAGAGGCGCTGGGGAACCTCGGCTTTGCTCCATTGGGTACCTCGGTACCTAACCTTGCTGAATGGACAGACGCCATTGTGGTTAGGTAGGTACCCAGGGCGATACCTGTCAAGAGACAATAGAAGGGTAGGTTGGTGGGCCGGTCTACACGTGTCAATGGCGCTACCTCTCCCACACATCTAACACCTCGATTTCTCGTCTCAGAAGAACCCGAAGGCGCCCCCGATCAGCTCAATACGAGTATAACGGTAGGCTCTCTCCGGACAGTAATGCGTCATCTCAGACCTACGGGCACATAAGCAGAGGCTCGGTTCCTTATATGCCTATATATATTACACAAAAACCTAACTCTCTGGGGTACACAAGTACCGATAGTAACACAACATCACCCCCCACAAATCAAGCGTTCGGCATCCAAGCTTGGCATCAAATAGTGTTCCCCTCCCTGCGGACATTGGGAAGATTACCGAAAAGAGATTGCAGATGAGCGCGCCTCTTTCCCTGGCCAATCCCCAAACCTTTTTCTCACATGGGTATTTTTCGAATGCCCTCTGAGACTCTGGTTGTCTACGTAGGTAGTCCGTGTGTGGCGTAGCCGGCGTCGAGGGCGGATGGCGTTGGTGCGGGGCAGGGATACGAGACCGCCGGCCTGTTTCTTATGGCCCTTCCATGGCCTCTCCATGTTACGACCTTAGGTGCGCGAGCACAATTCGACCCCTTCGTCCTCCATTATATCGCTTTCGGACAGCACTGTAGTGACTCTGGGCCATTGTGTACCTGAATACTCATTTTTGCTAGATATCTACCTCGGTAGGTACCTGTAAGATGCCCGAGTAAGGACAGCTGTAGACTTACTCTTCCCTCCCGCCTTGCATCCCGTAAAGGGAGGGTCGACGTGTTCCAGGTCCCCTAGAAATGGGCCGCAACCACAGGCATCCCCTTAACTTCTCGGCCACAGAGACAAACCGTCTATATGTGAGACATGGGATTGCTCTACAGAAGTAGTCCCGCTGCCTGCGGCCATTGCAGGAAGGAATCGTGTCGTGCCACGTCAACCAGGAGAGACCATTAAGGTCGGCCAAGATACATAACCCCAAACCACAGAGCCCCTACTCCGACCGTGCCGCGGATCTAGTCTTGTTAACCTAGAGCGCGCGGCTTAAGGCATCGCTGTGGAGGTACGTCTGTGGAGTGTTAAAATATGGTATGGGCAGGAGGCGATACGTGTAAGGGTACGGGTCTTACCTTATCCTAACCTAGATTCCTCTAGTTCTTTCGACGACCCAGGACTTGCTTGCGTTTATGGCTCCTTTCTGCTCTTTGCTGTGCTTGCGACTCTATTTCGCAACGAAAGCGGGGTTCTGTTCCATAGTCGCCGAGATGAAGCCTCTCAGCGCTGCCCACCGGTTTGCCGTCGAGGCCGGAGCCGATTCTGCCGCCGATGTCGGTGCCTCGCCCTCCTCTCCCGGGCCGCTCTTCCCAGCTTTCGCACCCTGAGAGGCGACGGCGCTGAGCCTCGCGAGGCTGACGCCGAACCTCTCGACCTCGCCCTTGACGATCCTCTCCTTCCTCTTGAGCGCGCCTCTCCGGGACCGGAGGCTCTTGTGCCGGATCTTGCCCTCGCGGAGCTGCCGCAGGCCCTCCTCGGTCTCGCCGTCGGCCAGCAGGTCCGGCAGCGCCTCGGCGAGCGAGTCGAGGTTGGCCACGAGCTTCTTGCCGGGCCGCCGCCGCTTCGGCGCCCTGCTATGCGCCTTCTCGATGCGCGATATGAAGGCCGAGTGCTTGATGAGCCGCTTGTCCCGCTTCGAATTTATGAACGAGTCGCTTGTCTCGGCGGCGCCAGGACGCGGCGCCTTGCGTGGCGCGTATGGCTCCGAATTCGACCGGGCGGTGAGCTTTGCGCGGAGCGACCGTCGCTTGGAGGGAGCCACCGGGGCCTAATGTAGAGGTGAGCACGGCATTGGGTGGTAGGAACTGTAGGGACGAACCATGATGACCGCAAATTTCCTCGCCCAAGATAGCAGAGGAACTAGAAGCAGTCTGTGGAGGTCGAGATGGAAAGCCCGTCGGAGGTCGCGAGTTGGATATCTGGGATTTTCGTAGTATAAATTGCAGCTACCCACCTAACATCTAAGAGGTGGGCGAGCAAAAATCTAGTGGGACCGTACCTAAAGCCAGTTGCTGCACAATTTTACTTACATGCATACGTGCTTTTCCTATGGGGTAAGTACCATAGGTACTTGGAGCTATGCACTTACCTAATACCTACGTATATAGGTAGGATACCGGGTTGCATACTCCTAATTATTATGAGTAGATACGCATCTTTCGTCCTCTCTCACTCGGGGGGCGTTTTTATAGATAGGAACGGCCATAGAAGATACGAAGCAATCAACACGACCCGAAAATCAATCCATTCTATGCTTGGCCGACCTGTTCCTTGACACCATATCCCCCTAAACGCCGCCGCCGCCGCCGTCTACTTAGTCTTTCAGAACGTAATCCCACGCGATCATTATAAGTTTCCTCTACCTCTTCAAAATATCCACGCCAACCCCCCTCCCCCCTCTTCCTTTTTCTTGGTGCTTCGGTGACAATGCCGTAACGTTACGTGATGATGCTTGAAAATGTTGATACAGGGAGACTTAGAGGTATCTGAGCTTCCTAGTCGCAAATACGGCCACTACGGCACTGCAGGCTCCCACGAACAAGCATACGGCAATCGCATTCGGACCGTCCGTACCGTGTTGCTCTTCCGGCTGTGCGCCGTGCGCCAGTTCTGGGCTTTTTCCCGGCTCAAGTATGCTGAAGACGACAGTGCTGATTATGGTGCCGATAAATTGCGGGATGGTCGTGTAGATGTTCAGGATCCCGAAGTAGACGCCGGAAAGCTGACCTGTCGTGCTCGACTTCGAAGCGGCATGGGGACTACCGGGGTCTAGAAGGGAGGTAGGACTGGATATTTCGTGCATCTCTTCGAGTTCCGCGTTCGAGTCGTGCGATGAGCGACGGTGGGAGGCGACAGATCCCGTTGCCCCGCTCAGCCTGTTGACCTCGACGCCGAGAAAGGCGGACGGTGCCCACGACGCTATGTTCCAAGGCCTAGGAGACTCGTTAGATTCAACGCGTATCTCGCAACGGATACGGAGAAGACTCACAAGCCGCAGAGGCAAACCAGTACAGTCGCAAATCTAAAGCTCCTGGCGAAAGGCGCGAAGATCATCGCGCCTGCGAAGGTTGCGTGGGCGCACATCCATGCAGTCAGAAGGTCTGGCTTATATTTATTAAACTTCTCCAGGACGCCCCGAAGACTCTGCGGAGGTCGCTGCGTGTAGCTCTCATCGTCAGGAGATCTAATGACCATGGGTAGAATCCACGAGCCGAAGAAGGTAATGATGGAATAGATGAGGAACGCCTCGCTCCCGACCCTGCCAATTTCTCCTAAAGCGTCCCCCGAGTCCTTCGCCTCACTTGGGGTATCATAGCGGAAGTAAGTCTCGCCTATCCACGTAGTGCTGTAAAAGAGAAAGGGGAACCACCCGATCCACGCCCAGAATTGGGCCATGCAGATTGCCCGTATGCGTGGCGGCAGGTTGACAATAGTCGACCAGATCTGGCCAATGACCTTGAAGCCCCCATCGTCCTTGCGAGGATCGTGTCTCGTGGCGATTAGGACCCTTTCCGTCACCGCCCAGGCCGTAACGCCGCAGGTAAGTACGAGGCCGATCGCGGCAATGACGGTCAGCTGCTTGAACTGAGTGTCGCCCAGGGACGTGCCCAGGAGCGAAGGCAAGTCGATGGCTCCAGTCGCATAGGCGATACCGTGGCCGATGGCCGACATCCGGCTACCTATCCATCGTATTAGCGGACGACAACAACACCGGCGGAAAGGTGACCCATACCCCAGGCTGACCCCCTTTGTTGCTTTTCGATCGGCAGGGTGTCGACAACCAGACTCCTCGCCGCGGACATGACTAGCAGCGCAGTCAGTAAAAATACGGCTTGCAGCGGATCGAATCGTAGCCGGTGCTTGCTACCTACCAGCATTGATAGCGAAGTCGACGGCGTAGATGGACAACACGGCAGCGGCGACGGTGAGAGTCGGCGCGGCCTCGCTGTCAGGGACGAAGAAGTCCACGATTTCCTTAGTAAATCCCAGCACGAGGAGGCACAGAGCCGACAGTATGGAGCCGACGATGATAAAGGGTCGCCGTCGCCCCCATTTCGACGTCGATTCGTCCGCGAGAGCGCCCACGATCGGTTGCACGATGAGCCCCGAGAGCGGGCCGGCGATCCATACCAACGAGGTTTTACTCTTCGTCAGGCCGAGGGAGAGGAGGTAGGGGGTGCAGTCTGGATGCAGCCACTGGCGTCAGTCGTCGACTTTGAGGTGGGGGGAATCGTAACACTCACAAGTCTGCTCTACGCCCCAGACGAATCTGCATGCGATCCCGGCCCCGTTAGCAAGCGCTCGCCTATGCCTACCCCGGCCGCCGATGGAGGGTGCCAACGTACGTGATGCCGACGGTGTTAAGGGTCAGCAAGGCCATCCGCACCGCCTCTGAGCTCCCCTTGATAGAGGGCTGACCCGACCATCTCGCCATGTCGTCCAGTTTGTCGGGCTAGGAGCCAGCCGTGCGCAACGACGGGATCGAAATAAGCATCCGGGCGCGGTTGGCGAACGGCAGGGCGTCGTCGATGCGTCGTTCGGACAGAGGCATGTATCCCTGGAGGTGAGACGAGGAGGAATTGACGCTGCTTTTTTTTTTAATTGCTACCCTGGCGGCGCAGCAACCATTATGAAGCGGAAGAGGACGGGCTTCTCGGGTTGTCGTGAGCTTCACGAAAGGCACACGAAGTAGGCTCAATTTAATAGGAGCGAGGAGTGTATGAGTACGAAGTAATACGCAGCCATAATTATTGGCAACGCTTAATATGGCTAGGGGTATGTTAGGTAGACAGGGATTCTACGGGCCACCAAGACCGACCCCACTGTGGCTTGGCAGCATAAGGAGCCCTTCTGGTGCTACATACCTATGTTAGGTGGCCGAGTCTTGCCCTTTGTGCTGTACTCATACGTAAGTTGGCGTTACATAAAAGGAGATTGCTGGGAGAAAAGGAGCCAGCGGAAGTCGACCTGTGGCCTCACCGACAGGACACCAATCTCCTTTTCTCTCTCCTTCTCCTAGTATGCGTACTGTTAGGGGACAATAATGCAATGCTGAGGCCTGGGCGGGCTGCGGTGGTGCCGGACGTAGCCTATCATACTATAGACCTGTACGTGTCTTATGTTATCCAAAGCTGGCCCATCTCGATTACGATAGGCACTACGAGGTACCAGAGGTACTTAAGTGTACTGGATGTGAGAGGTATATCGCAGATGGTATATTTAGAAACAAGCAACCTCTAGCGAGGTGAAGCTGAGAGCTCCCATCCAGATGTCTCCTTTCCAAGGTTACTAAAGGTACCTTCGGGACGGACGAAACAGCGGACACTTGGGTGTTCATATATACGAACCCAAGGGATTGGCAGCTGGAACACTCGTCACGGAGCTTCACACTCACGAAGACTTATTATCGGTCCGGAAATCCTTGGTTGCCCGTCGTCCGTCCTTAGGGGCCTGTGAGGCAGCAGCTCAATGGGGTCGGTTAACGTACCCAAGGTACCAAGTACCCGCCCGTACGTACACGTAGGTACCTACCTGTACCTTAGGAGGTACCTAACCTCGTAACCCATTTAAAGCTACGCTGCCTCAGATACCGCTTGCGGGCCTATACTGAGGTCAAGGGGGCCACCTAGTGGCTCCAGTACAGGCAGTACTAAGGGACAGTTACCCGTTAGGTCAGTGCCTTAGGCAAAGCGCCCGCGTGGGTCGAGTAGGGCATCATTCCAGGGGTTAGACACCTCCTAACGTAACCTCTGCCTTCAAGGTATCTCTAGGTAGCCTTAGGTAATACCATTAGGTGGGTGCCTCCAGGCAAGTTGCCTAGGTACCTTAGGTAGTAGGTGTTCCTTCGTTTCCTTTCGCCGGTGCCCGGTATAGCACATCTCATTGGTCCCTTCGTGTGGAATCAGGGTATCTACCGCGCTCTCCGAGACAGAAGCCACGTTGGTAGATCTGAGACTGTGACTTGGTGGAGGAAGTTGAACCAGCACAGTATGTACTGCTCACTACTATGGACCTCAGGAGGTACCTACGTGCATAAGCCACATCACATACGCCATAACTGCATATGTATGCCCCGCCATCCATCACATCTAGGTATGTGCATATCCGCGTATCTCTTCCCACCCACCTCCGATTCAGGAACGTGGGGTTTGAGCAAGCATTTCAACAAATTTGAAAATACACCTACCCGTCATCATTCTGGAGCTGCAAATAAAAAATATATCTACAAAATAACCCCCCTCCACGAGTATGGCCCCCCGAAGGCCAGCGTGGAATTAAGAGAACAGGCTCTTGCGAAAGCATACCACCTCACCATTTATTTGCACGCCATACACAGGTACACACGCACGCCAACATGTGAGTTTCTTTGCTGGTGGGACACCGCGGCTGCAAGGAGACGATTGACGCCATCTAGAAGTCCGACGTAGTCCTATTCCATTGGCCGATCTATGCTGCTGTAACCAGAAGGCTTCTGCGGCCGTCTACATCTCCACCGCATATTTGCATATCTCTCCCTCGTCTCTCCCGCCCCCCTTTTCCTCTTTCCGTCTGCCTACCTCCCGCGCGGGCCCGGCCATGGATCTAGTTAACCAGTTTGTCCCCTCCAGCTGTTTCTTGTTGTTTCGTTCTCTCCCTCTCTCTCTCTCTCTCTCTCCTCCCGTCATGATTCGCCATGACTAACTCCGCGCCCCTCGACAACAGCTTAGAAGGCCGGCTGTTGTTCGCTGTCCCCAAGAGTAGGTTGTGTTGCCGTCCCACGCTTTCCACCCGCCGGGTTCGCCTATGAGACTGACGCACCCGGTAGAGGGCCGTTTGAACCAAGCCACGCTCAACCTCTTGGAGGGCGCGGACATACAATTCAAACGGGAGAATCGCCTGGACATAGCATTGGTCAAAAACCTCCCCATCGCTCTCGTCTTTCTCCCGGCCGCCGACATACCCACTTTCGTAGGAGAGGGCCGGGTCGACCTGGGCATCACCGGGTGGGATCAGGTACTAGAGCACGATGCAGGTGTCCGAGCTCTCCACCGCGCTCGGCGCTTCTCGGGCGAGATCACTCCGGAAGAAGAGAGCGAGCGGAACTCCCAAGGTTCGGGATGTGAAAGCGTCATGGACCTTGAATTCGGCAGTTGCAGGCTGCAGGTTCAGGTTCCAGAGAAGGGCGCCTTTGATTCGCCCAAGGACCTGATCGGGAAGAACATTGGGACCAGCTTCGTCCACTTGGCAGAGAAGTACTTCGCCGACCTAGAACTGGAAGTGGACGCGGCCAGCGAGAAGCCGAATGGCTCCCCGGCTAAGTTTACCAGCAAGCTGCGGACCAAGATTATCGAGTTGAGTGGCAGCGTTGAAGCTGCCTGCGCCCTCGGCGTGGCCGACGGAATTATCGATCTTGTTGGTGAGTCATAAGGATTCAAAATGGGAACAGGAGACGGTATTATAATTAGGCGCTGACCCTCGCAGAATCTGGCGAGACGATGAAAGCCGCGGGACTGAAACCGATCGATACCGTTGTTGACACGACGGCGAGGTTGATAAAATCGCGGAGACCGTCTAACCCCGGCCTTGTCGATCTCATCGCTGCCCGGATCCGCGGTGTCATCACAGCCCAGCGGTACGTCATCTGCCAATACAACGTCGAGAGAGCCAAGCTCGCCGCGACGACGAAGATTGCGCCGGGGAGACGAGCCCCATCGGTGACGTCTCTGGAGGAAGACGGTTGGGTCGCCGTTAGCGTTATGGTGGAGAAGAAGAAGCTCGCGCCGATAATGGACGAACTGTCTCTCGTTGGCGCGACAGACATCTTGGTGCTGGACATCGTGAATACTCGATGTTGATCGAAGCATTTAGGAGAGGGAAGCTTGGGGGGAAGGTTGCAGGGAGGTGGCTATTTGAGAGTAGAAAGGGGTTGGTCAAAAGGGACATGGGGGCCTATTACCGAGCCCTCGACATCTCTCAACCTCGATGCTAGCAAGTCTCGCTTGAGCAAGTGTCAATTACCTGCCTCCCCTTTGAGTACGGACTTCTGTGGTAAGAGAAAACCCCGCAAAACAGGCGAAGCTACATTATGGCGGTGGTGTCTCGAATGCGTGCTATTCTAAAGTGAGGCTTCCGATTACTTCGCCTGGGATTATTGATGTCGAGAGACCTTACTCGAGGTTGATCTATGTCCTGTGAGCGTTGCGCCGCACGCGGAAACGGCGCGGATAGTTGGGGTACTGGGGGACCATGACGGGGGTCGACAACGGTACCCAATCGAAGACGATGCTTTCAACATCGCCCACCACCCGGACATGATAGGTGTTCGTAATCCAGCCGTATCCGTTTAGCCGGGGAATTCGACTCGAGAAATCTGAGTCCTATCAGGTTCCTTTATTTATTTACTTCCAAAAATACCTATTAATACCTGCATTTTAATCCTCGCCGTTTGATACCTAAAGTAGCGGCATTGTGCCTGATAGGGGACACCTACCTTAGGTAGTTACCTGCCTACCTCCGTACCAGCACTACCTAACATTGCGCTTCCTTTGTCTCTTTCCTCTTCAGAAGCTACGCGATATAATCTACTCCGCTCCGATAATATCATAGGCCTCATTATCCGTACATGTTGCCCTTGTACCGAGAGGGACCTTGTGTACACCTTTCAGGCAAAACCCCCCGTCCCCCACCCCACTCCCGAACACGTTTGCTCAGAAACCCCTACCCACGCCCTTCGTGAACCTAAACCTCCGGGCGGCAGAAGAGGGCGGATGGAACCCAACGCGGCAACCAAGACGCCTTCACGGCCCGCCGCAGCGGGTGGGGAGAAACAGTCACGAATATACCAGGTCAGTCGAATATTGCTCCCGGCTCGCCTGCCCTGTCTCCTCCGGCCTACCTCGGCGCATCCCGATGGCGAGGACGCGCGTCCACCTTTACCCTCCCGTCCCCTTCACACGCCCCCTCCCCGGCGCACTAACTCTCCCGCTTCCCTCTCCCGCTCACCAAGGCTCTCTCTCCCCAGGCCATCATGACGCCGATCAACTTCGTCACGTTCCTGCTGTCGCTGTACCTCGTCGACATCCAGTACCACGAGCGGCGGGTGCGCGAGCACGCCGAGCGGCCTCGGGGGGTGCTGCCGGCGTGGCTCCTGCCGGCGTGGCTGCGCCGGCTGCTCTTCCGGCCGGCCCCGAACCCGTACCGCTGGGTCGACCGCGACCGCCCCGTCTCGCCGCGGAGCGGCAGCGGCAGCGGCAATACTGGTAGCAGAGGCGCCGGGGGAGCGGGGGCGCCGACCGGGGACCCCGACGCCGAGCGCTGGTTCTACCACACGAAGCAGCGCGAGCTCATGCGCATGGAGGCCGCGGACGCGTTCGAGCTCCGCCGCGCCGTGCTGCTCGCGCTGTGCGGGCTCCTGCTGTGCGCCGCGTGGGGGGTGTGGCGCCTGGTCCTCGGCTCGAGAAGCGACGTGCGGTCGTCGCCGTTCGAGAGGAGCCGGGCGAGGGGCGAGGTGAACGCATGCTACTAACCGTAGAGTGGCAGGAGGGGGGAATGGTTAATGGGCCTTGTTGCGAAATTTGGCAGACACGCCCGGTCAGGGCACGTAGGCGGCATTGTGATGTTTTATGTCGGGAACGGGCAGGTGAGGAGAAGGGGGGGAGGGGGGAGTTAAGGATGGGCTCCTTTCTACGTACCACAGCATCAGTGGGCTAGTTCGTCTTTTGAGTGCATACTGAAAGGAAAGCGGTTGGTGGAATTAATACTCTACTATGTAGGTACGTACATAATACGGTCCTGAGATTCGCTCTTTTAATGAGGCGATGGAGTACAATGAAAAAATACCCACGATTCGTTACGGGCATCTAGGCGGCCTTGGTATGGGCATATAAAGCAAGCAACGGAGAGATACTGTGATACGGATCTAGATCTTATAGCGGATGTCTGCTCGCCTACGTCATGGCTAGCAATGATTAACATGTGGGCTACACAGGCGTTTATACAACGCTGCTCCCGCGATCGTCATATCTCAGCCCTCTCCAGGGTTCCATTGCATCTGGACACAGGGGTCTCCCGAGTAGACATATGGGACATGCAGTGCATAGCCTTCCAGATAAGCGGTTTGAACAGGCTGGCCGCCATGGATGACGGATGCCTGACCTTGCGATGATCCGGGACACAGATCTCCCAAGAGCCAACTTCCTCCGCCACTGCAACCTGGCGAACAAGATACGGGGATAGACGAGAGAGTGCCATCAGACCCGGGGCGATGGGCCTGACGTCATGGCGGCCGGGAGCTTAAAAATGCCCAGGAATGACACAAAGAGCTATTATGGGGCTATAGCAGCACCGAGCACCCCCCCCCCCCCCCCCTATCTGCATAGAGCATATATCCTTTAACGGCATTTGCCGTGGAGATCCCAAAAAACAGCTTTCCCTGTTTTCCACAACTACTGACGCCAGTTAACCCTCTTAATTACCACCGACCTCGAGTTACGCATACCTTTAGAGGAGGTAACCTACGATTAGCACCCAGGTAGCCTACTTATAGGTACCTCTACTTAGGTATTTATGCATTTACCTGAGGTCCTTGACCACCTGCACCCGGGTAGGTACCTCAGTACCTCCTAGCTTCAATTCGTCTACACAAATCACTCCCGTTTGTATGTTCAGAATTCCTCCTACACCGTCACTTCGAGACTATGATGCCGTGGTCTCAGCTCGGTCAACATCCCAGCGGCCCTGCCTATCTACCGGCTATGTATATAGCTGAGGTCGGGGCCGTAAATGTTTTCCCTTCGTTAACCAGTACCTGAATAGATACCCAGGGGGTTTCCCATTCCTTCTCTCGGCCTGTCGTCGACTTCCATCCCGCCCCCAGGTATCCCGGAGTGTTAGCCGCGTTACAAATAACAGTCACCGATCACGAGAACCGCCTACTCACCATTGATCACTCCCTTCTGGGTTCTATTTCATTTCTTCACGTCTCCTACCTTCCCCTCCTCCCCAAATCCGGCCCAATTGCAGCCTTTGCCTAGCTAAGAGTATCAGGCTCGGGCGCGGCAAGGCAAAAACTAGGTAGGCATATCTTGCTACGTCGTATATCGACTGGGGAGGGATCCGTGTTTGCCACACAGTCCCCGCAAAGAAGATAATGGCCCATCCGCTAGATATAGCGGAGGCATACCGGCACATCTACCGAGCAAAGTTTTGGAACCAGGTCTCGACCGGTGCCAAGAGGCCATTCCTGATCCCCTGGAGCTTCCTCGGCGTCTGGATCCTGCCGACGCTGTATCTGGCCGTACCGCACAGGAATCGCCCGTGGGTGTACCGAGCCAGGTGGCTCGTTCTCGCCCTCGCCGTGCTTCTGAACTGCGATACCATCTTCAACGTTTCTAGCGATAACTTTGCCACCGCCTATGGCGCCGGTCTGCTCGGCGCCTGGGGCATCATCTGGAATTTCACCTTGCTGGTCTGGACGAGACCCCAGTGGGACGCCAGGAGGGTGAATATCAGGAGAAAGGTTGAGACGGAAGCGAAGGCGTACGGCAAGGAGGACGGCCAGAGCCAAGGCCGAGGCCTGGCGGGAGATGGCCCAGGGAAGGAGTTGATTTCTGCTCGAGTGTCTAGCCTAGAATTAAGTGGCCATACGACTGTCGATGATAACCCACCTCATGGCCTAAGAGCGAGACAGGAACACGACCGCAGCGACGACGACGTAGAACTACCCGTAGAGTTAGACGCCATGTCGGAGGAGCCTAGAAAAGCCGTCTTAGACGCGATATCGGCATTGAAACTGCAAAACAACGGCGTCTTAACGGCGGCCTACCTCGACAAGCTTGCCGCTGAGCAGGAATTTGAGTACTACTGGCAGGAATTCCCCGCCGACGCCTCCTTCTGGACGCGGTTGGGCTGGTCCTTCGATCTCGTCGGTAACCTCCGGATGACAGGTAAGAGATTCGTCTGCTACGAGCTCAACCCGCGCTCTTTGCGGTCATTCATATTCCTTGGGAGCGAAAGTTTCCCCGTCAGAATCCCGGTGTGCTTACCTACGTATTAGGCTGGAACTGGGCGATCTCCTGCCTGCCGCCCTACGCCCCGCCCCTCAAGCTCCGCGGCTACCAGCTACCTCTGAGCTCGGCTGGCCCGCACCGCAGCCGCCAGGGCTTCACGCGGCAGCTCACGCGCGCCGGGCTGCTCAGCGAGCGGCTCTGCTGGGCGATCCTCCCCGGCTATCTCGCCGTCGACTTCTGCGCCGTCTACATGACGGCGGACCCGTACTTCGTGCTCGGGCCCGAGCACGACCTCGGCCACCCCTTCGCTCTCTCCCCTGGGGCGGCAGCCCACCACCGACAACACGTGCCCCTGCCGCCGCACCTTGCCTCCCTGCCGCCGTGGGCGCTCGGAGCGTCGCGCATTGCGCTCTCCTTCGTCGGCATCCTGGCGGCGCTGCACCTCGCGCTCGGCATCGCCACCCTTGCCCTCACCGTCGTGCCGCCGCTGCGCTGGGCGCTAGGTTTCCGCGCCGACCCCTGGCACTACCCCAGCATCGACGGCTCCTTCGCCCAGGTTCTCGACCGCGGCCTCGCCGGCTTCTGGGGCGCCTGGTGGCACCAGACCTTCCGCTTCGCCTTCGAGGCCCCCGCCCGCTGGCTCCTGCGGCGCTGGGAGGGCCGGGACGGCCACGATGGCGGCGACGGCAACGGCAACGGCGGTGGTGGTAGGGACGGGAGCGGCACGAACCCCCCCTACGCCCCGCAGACCCGCGCCTACCTCCTCGCCGCCTCCGCGTTCCTGCAGTCCGGCTTCCTGCACGCGGCGGCGTCGCACAGCACCGTGCCGGCGCACACGCGGTGGCAGGACCCGCCGCTCTTCTTCCTGCTCGCGGGCGCGGGCGCCGTGCTCCAGTCGCGGCTGTCGCGCGCCGCCGCGCGCCGCCGCTTCCTCCGGGGGCCGGCGCCGCGGTGGGCTCGGCGCGCGGGCAACCTGGCGTTCGCCGCCGGCTGGCTCGCGCTCACGAGCTGGGCGCTCGCCGACGACTTCGGCCGCTGCGGCCTCTGGCTCTTCGAGCCCGTCCCGCTCTCCGCCGTCCGCGCCCTCGGCCTCGCGCCCCGCGGCGCCGACCGCCGCGCCTGGCGCTACGGTGCCGGGTTCCGCCCCCGCTGGCATGCCGGCGGGCACTGGTGGGACACCGGCATCGCGATCTGAGCGGCGCGGCAGAGGGTAGTAGGGTAGAATAGGATAGGATCGGGTGGGGCGAAACGTAGTTACGGTTAATAATTAGGTATTTTGATCTCTCTTCAATGGGTATTCCTTGCCATACATCCCGCCGGCATCGGACGGTAGACACAGTGTACAACAATGGATAACACGAAAATGGCCGGCTAACACCCTGCTTCCCTCCCATGCTATATACAGCCTCCGGCAACGAGCTGGACCACGCGCCCGTGACGGATGTCCTTCCGAAGTCTCAGCTTCCCGATCTGGACGCCGAGCCAGGCGAGCGTTTCGCCGTAGTTGGATTGCTTGCGCGCCAGCACCGCGTGGAAGGCGTTGTACACGAGCCTACGCGGACCAGGTTAGTCTCGCGGGCGGACCGGGCGAGCGGCGCGTCTCGCGGCTTTTAGACTAGACGAGGGAAAGGAGGGGTGGGGGGGGGGGGGGGGGTCCGTAGCTCACCAGCATATCTCGAGCCTCTTGATGTCGCAAGCGTAGCCCGGGTGCCGCGCCTTGCGCGTCTTGGACACGAGCATCTGGTAGGCGACGGCGACCAGGTCCGAGATCGTCCCTGCCGAGGAGTTAGCCGCGCCGCACCCTCGCGAAGTAGCCGAGGGGCGTCTCCCCCGTTCCTGGCAGAGCATAAACTCACGGATGGCTAGCGCGGCCGGCGGCTGCTTCGATGGCGGCAGGCAGCGGGCGTAGGCCCACATCTTGGTCGCGGTGCCGGAAAACGCGTGGTACAGGTTCGTCAGCGTTGTCTTGGCCGAGTTGAGCTCCGAGTCGCTGAACATCAGTTGGCTCTGGATCCGGAAAGCATCTACGCGTACGCGCCACGCGTGTTAGTCGGGAACATTGGCACGGCCCCCAAGGTTGGAGGAGGAGGAGGAGGAGGAGGAGCGTGTCTGCCTTACTTAAAATCCTCCGCTGGAACAGCTGTCCCGGCGTTCGGGAGAATGAGACGGTAAGCGAGTCGTATATACCTGGGCGACGTTAGCTGCTGGGGTCCGAAGGCAAACGATGGGGTTGATGACGGCTTACCGGTCCCCGCCTTCTTCTCCTGGCTCCGAGACATGTCCAGCGTCTCGCAGTCGATAGAGGCCCCGCAGTAAGGGAAGCCCTGGCCGGGCTCTAGTCTAGCGATGTGCTCCCCGCCGACCCGGAGGTCGAAGTTGACCAGAGTTTTGCGAGGACTCACCGCTACGCCGTACTCGGGCACTCCTTGGTGCATCGTCTGCACGAAGCGGGCGACCTTGGGCTCGTCCGTGGAGATGAGGAGAAAGTCGTCGATCAGCCGCAAGAGCAGGCAATCCTCGGAGTCGAGGAACGAGAGGACGCGCGCTTCGAGATCGGCATAGAAGTAGTTGCAAAGCGTGGAGGACAGCACAGATCCCTGCGGGATGCCTTGCTTCTGCCTGTAGAATTTCTTGCCGATCTTGACGAGGTTCTGTTGGATGTGCGAGGCCACGAGCTGAAGCACTTCGCTGGTCTCGTAATGCTTCTTCCAACAGTCGACGAACACCGTGTTCCTCTTCGTAGCAGCGTGCCCCGCATCGAGCAACTGTAGGAGCGTGGAGCCGTCGCCACCGCTCGTCGCCACAGACGGCCACTTCTTCGTGGGTTTCGTTTTGGACAGGTCGGCAATCTGCCTTGCCCGGTCGGGCCCAACTTCAGCATACGTAGAGACTCGGTACTGCGTTTGTTGCAGGATAGACTCGAGCAAGCCGACGATGGCGGCCTGAGGAATAGTGTCGAAGGCAGATTGGACGTCCAATTTCGCGAAGTAAAGCTTCTTCACGCCGAGCGTGTTTATTCTCGCCTTGAAAGACTTGATTCGCTCGTAGATGTCGCCGATGTCGAATAGGGCGGACCCCAGCCTCCCCGGGTTTATAGCCTGTTCCTGTTAGACAGCCGGGTTTGACGTTGATTGAACGCAATCATACCTTTTCTAGTTGCAGAATTGTGTGTGCCGGGGTAAGAATCTTGTTGATGCTGGGACCCAACTCCTTCGGATTCCCCAGCATAGCGGTTCTCCTGCGTAGATTCATGACCGGCCGCATCCCAACCTGCTTTGGCAGCAAACGAACCTGGCTAAACCCCAATGTCCGGGAGCCCAAGATTTCGCGGGCGTGAGCGAGGGAAACCTCGGAGAACATATTGCTTTTCAATGTCGCCATCGCGGGTTCTGCTACATAACGCCACACGTCGTGACGGAAGAAGAATAGTCGAGACTTGTGGTTGTTCGACTCCGTGACGTAGAAATTACTACGAATCAGGGGTATCAAGAGAGAATCGAAGAGGAAATACAGAAACTCGGCAAAGAGCTCCCGACGCTTTCCAAGGTCTGTTCGGGACGTCTTATTCGACCTGAGGCACGGCGGCGCGAGCCAGTCTATCTCTGTTACCTGTCGACTGTTAGCTTGACCTGTCCGTCCCTTTCCAGCAGACACGCGACCATAATTCTAACCTTCATTTCCTGCATCACTTCGTGGAGCGACATGCCTTCGAAGCGCCTCAGCGCTATGAAATGGTCTACCTGCTTGAGAAACCTGCTCTCGTGGTCTGCTGCGGCAGATCCGGTCCCCCAAAAACCCCTGGGCACGATATTCTTCAACACAGACCGACAGAAAGAGGACACGCTCGCTAATGGGGTTGCCAGGCCAAAAACGGACGACACCGGCTTCCTCGGCAATGAAGATGGGCCTCGAAGTTGCAATGCTATCTTTCTTCGCTGTGCATTTACACTACCGTTGGCTTTGCCGGCGCCACTAGCTTCTGTCAACTCGACTTCCCGATAATCAAGCGACTCGTGAAGCTTCACACAGTCAGCAGCTTGTAGTGTCGCGATCGCGGCTGAGACACCTTACCGGACAGTAATGCTGGAACAGTTCTGAATAAGAACAGCGTTGGTGTAGGATTTGGAGTTTCCGGACCAACTCTGTGGCGGCCCCCCTTAACCGCTTAGGCACGTGAACTCGAGTATCCGGATCATTGAGCCTGCCAAACTTGCCTAGGATTTCTTCTTCTCGCAGGGTATAATCTTTCAGCTGCTGGGACGTCTCTTTGAAATTGACCTTGGAGGTGAAGGCATTGTGAAGTCCGAATTGGCGCGGGAAAATGTACATCATAACCCTTAGTGTGTGAGCGTCGTTCTGGGCAGCCATGAGTTTACTGCTCTCAGCCGATTGCTCCCCCTCCTCGTCGGGACACACATAAGGAGACCGATTTAAGACATCTATCGCAGTGAGTACTTGCGAATGATGAGATGCTACAGTGACTTACGAATATGCCTGAGACCAAAATGCACAAATCCTCGAGCATTCAGCGCGGCTTTTGCATAAAGCATACGACTACGGATGAAAATAACTGCAGACGGCGGTTTTTTCATGTCACCTAACGGCCGTTCCTCTACCTTCTCCAGAGGGTGCATCTTGACGTCCGTCAACGGCTTCCCTGGCTCACGATGAGTAAGGAGACCGTACCGGTACTAGCAGTTTGGACGACGTACCGCTAATTTGGCAGAAATTGTTGGTGCCTGCTTTCAGGGGCACGAAGACCGCACAGTCGAGAAGCAGGTCTATCATGATACGCTCCCCCGAGTCGCCCATCAGGGCCAACAGTTGCGGCCACGGCGGCGCCTTCAGCATCTCGACATGCGGGTTGGTTCGAACGACGCGCAGACCGAAGCCACAGTTCCTGCGGTAGCCGTCGCAGAGCAGATGCTTCGGCCACGTGTTGGCCTTCGCCCCAGAGAACAGCGTTTTCACGACGTAGTCTATCAGCTTCTCGATATTAGCTCACCGGCGACACACCTATGGCGGGCGGGCACGCATCGGTTCGACGCAAGGGCGAGGGGTTGGGTCGTACATGTGCTTGTGTCTCGACACACCCCGGCACGCCGCTCGATAGAGTGACATGGGAGTCATCGCCTTGCTGGGAGAAGCTCTTCCACAGGGCCAACCGACCATCCCCAACAGGTTGCAGCGCCTCTGGGATCCCGACGAGCGTGCTGTCGAGGAGAGCGCCCAGCGAACGCTCCACGTCCGAGACAGGCAGGCCTGGGGCTTTGCCGACCACGCCGACGCCAGCCACCTTTTTCCTCCGAAGCCTCGAGGCGGCGGGCAGCCCCTCGAGGACATATTCCCGCAAGGTCAACACCCGGGAGTGGAACTGGTTCAATACTGAGTGCTGGGCGTGCTCGGGCGCCGCCTTCTCAGTCGGACGGTGGGGATGAGTGCCTCCTTTCTTGGCTGGCGGTTGGCCTTCCAAGCCGGCCCCGAGGCTCTCGCGTCTCCTCTTCCTCGGGCGGGCCATTCGGCAGTCTCGTCGCGTATGCTAGCCGCAGTCGTTCCCTCCCATCCACCCACGCGGGTGGATGCTCATGTCCCGGTCGGAGACGCTAGACGACGCGGGACGAGGAAGCTATCTGATAGTCCAGCAGGGACATTGGACACTAGGATCGAACGATTAGCTTCCCGGCGATTCCTCTGCACGCTCTACCGGTTTAGGCGGCAATTTTCAAATGGGATGGCGCATAAATCAACCCCGAGTTCATCCGCTTCGGCGAGTTGATGCTGTGTTCCTGGTCTCGACGGTGGTCTACGCGTGTAAGAGGTATATGGATACGCGTGACTCGTTAGGGTCGGCAGTTTTGGTCCAGATACGGACTTGGCCCCGTATTGTGCCCATCTGCCCGTTTTGGCGCCAGTGGGCTGTGCGTAGGCGTAGGCGTCGGTTGCACTCACCTACGTGAAATTACAAACGGCACCGCGGGCTATTCAATACGTTAGGTACCTACTTCTATCACTTGTCAGGTACCTGGGTTACCCAGGTAATTACAGGCAAGAGTTTGGTATCTACAGGTATCAAGACCAGGCACCCAGGTACCTCTCCCGCATAGATGTACCTAGATACATAGAACGTACCTCGAGGTCCTATCGACATGTGCTGCTTATCAAGAAGTTCGGGGAATGGAACGCCGTCGCGTAGGGACAACTTCCGCTCTCTTCCAAGCAGCCAACCGCAATCTCTCTTCTTGGCCGGCCTCATTCCCGCGACTTAATACAGCGGGAATTACTCATTTCATTTCCCGCCCCAGTTGCAGAGTCACTTCGCGCGGCCGCACCACAAGCCATATAACTCACCCCATATACCTGTCTCTCTCCGCGGCCAGGTCAGTAGGCAGGTGTGTAATTTGCCATTACTCGCGTAGCCTGGCAGTTCCCTGCTCGCCCGCACATGTGAGCAACTCAGTCCCGACGAGTCAATTTAAACGGGAGCGAGAAGACGGGCGTGAGAGACCTACATGATACACAGGGGTGTGTATACCTCCCTCTGATATAAAGGTGCCTAAGAGGTATATCGTATATACCTACGTATACCAGGTACCTCATACCTCCTATAGAGATGTATTTATATGGCATCTCACCACCTCCTAGAGGGCCACCTACGTAGGGGTGTTGGTAATCGATATTTACGACATCCGGTGCCCGGCTTCGACCCATGTCGACGAAGAGGACAGACGCAATCGATCTCGACTTGTCACTCACTTACTCGTCCTATAATATGTAATACCACGTAGTACACGAGCACATACCTACGTAAGCCCCGACGGCTGTCACTTTTTGCTGGCCTAGGGACATGGCAATACTACGTACGTGGTAGCCAACTCGCTCTCTGCCTGGCGACATGTTGGTCACATTTGGGGTTGGGCGCCATCACAACTGCCAGACTCACATCAGACATCGAGGTGGAAAAAAAGGAAGAGCTGATTGACTCATCGCGTAGGGTCGTTGAACCAATTGCCAACCGCCGCCTGTTATACCAGATTGGTTCGCTGCCCTGCGTTGGCCGGGACTAAGCCACGCCTGAGATGCGCGTGTAAATGGATGTGCACATGACGACCGAGGCTCGCTCTGGCGAGAGAGAGAGAGAGAGAGAGAGGCACGAAGACACGAGGGCATTGCGCCGGTGCTAATTGCCAATATCCGTCGGGATTGGCTCCGAGTAAAGAAAAAAAGAACAGGAAAGAAGACAGAACCGGCAGCGGCAGCGGGCGAATGGGATCTCTCAATTCCGGCCATCGTAGGGGTCCGGCATAGCGTTACTATCCCCAGTCCTCTCTCCCCTCTGAGAGGTGGCCCGGTATGTAGGTAGTACTAGTAGCCTCTTACAACGGAGGCTTGATTCACACGGCACGCGGCCGACACCAGTGGTGCGATGGATCCCGTGCGTGTCCTGCTCGTCAAGTCAGCCATCGAGATAGCAGGTTCGCCGTGGCAAGGGACGAGACAGGTCTGGTGTAGATTATGGCTTTTGCACCTCGTTGATTGAAGTCTCCGAGAGTGTGGGCGGGCGAGTGGATGGGACGGAATCCTGCAAGCTGCATGCACTCCTGTCTGATCCGGCGCCGTATTTCCACCGCCAGCTGGCCAGGTTTCTCTTGTCTCTTGATTTCTGTTTCGCTCTCCCACTCGCTCTCCCAGGAAAAAAAGGTATCTCCCCGTCTGCTAGGCACCAATCGCGATCCGACATACCACCCAGTACGACACACCCAACGTCAAAAGACCCAATGCCCATCGACGGCGGAGAATAAGACGAAATAGAGTACGCGCCGATCGCTTATTGTTCGCCTGCCTGTGGGGTCATTCGATGATGGCTGGCTCGTTGCGTGGTGCCGTTACGAGGCTCAACATACCAGGCCTTTAAAGATTCTGAGATTGGCTCCCCTTTTGGAGGGGAGGGGGGAGGGGGTGGAGGGATGCCTCTATCTCTATCTCTTCTGAAGATCGGTCGAACCTATCGCCAGGACAGTCTGGTTGAGTTTAAAGAAACCGACTACGAATACCTAGCGCAGTATGAGTGCATTTCCCGCCGCTCTGGTCATGTTATGTGTGGGTAGGGTACCTACAGGTATATGCCCTGCCTAGCCTGCCTAATATATCTTAGGTAGGTATACGTTAAGGCTGGTATACCCCTAGGTTCCTATATTTCTCGGGTGATGCTCCGTTGGCTGGAATTTCCTCATCTGAACTTCCGGCAGCCCGTTGGAGTTACCGGCGGGTTGCCACCTGATACTAACAGCAACCTTTACTTCTCCTGTGCAAGTTACCTAAGATAACCATCTCGTCGATCAGCTAAGGCATATACTGTGTGGTACTCCCCCTCCCCATCCAAGCTCACCGTGCGAGCGTCCCAACCCTGGTTGGCTCTGGCACTCTCCCCGCCTCGAAATTGCAAACGGGATGCTTCACCGAGTGGCGTCCGACATAATATCTACCTATGCATATGGCAGCGTATGCGGGTGGTAGTAAACCGAGACGTCGGTGGGTGTTGATCCCAACGAAAACGTCCACTGGGCGGGCACGTATGTGGACATTTGGCACGATCGCCTACCCTTTAGGATTACCTTCTGACTGTATCTGGCCATGTATGTAGATCCGCCTTGCCATCCCGCTGTGGCTCCGGCAGAGGCTCTCCGATGGTTCGATCGGCTTGCAGGAGGACGGGCCGTCTCCTCACAGCCTCGATACATCCATTCCTCGATTCCACCCGATCAATATAGAACCCGCTCGGCGAACCACGGGGATTCAGATATACGTATTAGAGACGTCCAATACGTACACCCGCGCCTATGTGTCACGGCGGGCATCGCGGTTCCATGCTTCGCGCGAATTGGTTGAGCACCTAGGTCGGAGGTATGTAGCCGGCCTACTATGCACTGTGCAGCGATTTACCGGTGTAGGCGTTTTTTCTTTCCTTCCATCCCCTCCTCTTCAGTCTCCTCTTCTTCTCTCATGTGTGCGTGGGTGTGTACTCATAGATTAGGAGGGACCTCTCGGAATCCGTAAACCTACGATTACACCTATGATCCTGGGCGTGCCCGGGTATCCGTACAGGTAAGTTCGCATTCGTAATTTTCGAGGTACGATGGAAGGCAGATAACAGGGACACCTAATTTCTCCTAGGGGTGTTCGCAGGCACGTAGATAGAGGTAAATTCCATATAGCTGGCACATCGCAGATGCCATGTACCTTACCTGGCTGGGAAGGAGACAAGGGTGGGCAGCACACACAGGAGTCTGGCCTTGAATCAACCTCACCAGCCCTCGAGACCGGTAGGGTTCTGTACTCTAGGCCTGTACGCAGGGTTGTAAAAAAAAGTTTAAGTTTTTAAGTTAAGTTCAAGTTTTTTAAGTTAAGTTAAGTTTAAGTTAAGTTTTTTTCAGCTTAAGTTAAGTTAAGTTTTTTTCTACTTAAGTTAAGTTAAGTTAAGTTTTTTTTAGTTTAAGTTAAGTTAAGTTTAAGTTTAAGTTTAAGTTTTTTTAAGTTTTTTAAGTTTTTTTTAAGTTTTTTTATGCAAGAAATATGCACTAATTTTATGACTTTTATACATTTATGCATTTTATACCTTTATACTTTTATATATTTCGAGAAAAAATATAAAAAAGAAATAATTTTATTATTATTATTAATTAATTAAAAATCCTTTCTTAAAACTTATTTATCTTTAATATTAAGTTTTATTAATAGATTTTTAATTATAAATTTTAATATTAAGATTTTAAGTTTAAATTTCTTTTATAAATTCTTTTTTTAAAAAACTTTACTATTAGATTCTTTTAATACTATTTTACTTATATTAAACTACTAAAATATAATATGAAGTTATAATATATATATATAATGTTAAAATAAAAAGAAAAAATATAAAAATATAAAAATGAATATATAAATATAAAATTTTAAAATTTTAAAAATATTTTTTTTAATAATATAAATATAGAAATATATAATAAAAATAAAGTAAATGTTTTATATTAATAATAATAATAATTATAATTATAATTAGTATTAAAAGAATTTTTTTAAAAAATTATTAAAATTTAAGTTTTTTTTAAGTTTTTTAAGTTAAGTTTTAAGTTTTTAAGTTAAGTTTAAGTTTTTCTTAAAAAAGTTTAAGTTAAGTTAAGTTTTTTTTCTAGAAAACTTTTTTTTTTAAGTTAAGTTTAAGTTAAGTTCGAAATTGCTTAAGTTAAGTTAAGTTCGGCCCGAACTTAACTTAAAAACTTTTTTTTGCAACCCTGCCTGTACGCACCACGCCTCCCAATGTCCATACAACGTAGTAGCAGTAGGGGGGTCAGGTTAAGGATGTAGGGCAGACAGGGGAGGGGGTTCATGTACGTCCTACGGTAGTGTGTAGTAGGTTGGGTGTGGAGGATGTTAGGACGTTCGTTAGCTTGCCTCACACCCTGCGGTAGGGTATTATGGCACCGAACGTAGCCAGGTTCAGCCGATGCTAGAGAAGAGCGAAGCCGGACGGCGGCCTAGCCATACCTGGGTAGCTAATATGCCGGACACGAAGATGATGTGCCCTCCCACAGCTGGCGCAGGCGTGTGCGCGAGACAAGGGTGGGGGGCATCTGTATAGAAGGACCTGCTGGGAGTTCCCGTCGCAGGCTGGGCGGATTCGCAGGTGACTTTCACGTAGCTGTATTGCATGAATGGAGATATTATGTAGGGGCCCGGGTCAGGTAGATGCTAGGTACGGGGCAGGCTGTGTGGGAGGTGGGCGATGTGGTCGGTAGGGTCGGTGGGAGAGACGATTTGCAGATCGGGCCTTGTACCGCCAGCTCGGTTAGGTACCTCGTGCTCATCCCCCCTCCGCCCTCCACCACCACCGATTCGCTGTGCGTTCCCCGTGCGTGAGGAAGTACCCAACTGCGGGTATGTACTTGCCTTCCCACGTACCCTACCTGCGTTTCGGTACCTCCTCCTCCTCCTCCTCCTTGGGATGCCGGGACGCGGGTGGAAGCTGGAAGCGTGGATAGAGCGAGTTGGAAAGTCAGTCATACCTACATGCCCTTCGCAGGGAAAAGACCAGCGACAGGATCGAGTGATTATGAGTATACCCAATCCCGTGCCGCTTCTCTTGCAGCCGTCCAGCTTTCCGTCTGCCGTCCTCCACTCTCTCTCCCTTGCCCTCCCCCCCTCTCCTCCTCCTCCCTCCCTCCCTCCCTCTCCCCTTGGCCTCTCGCGAGGAGGAGAGGAAGAAGAGAGAGACACAGGAGGAAAAGAGAGGGAGAGGAAATAAGCGAGTGCTTTGGCGTCCGGCTGCTTCTCCTCGCTCTCACCAGTTCACCCTGCATGCCGGCCTGCCAGCCTGCCAGCCTGCCAGCACATCCAGCCCGGCGACATCCCACACGCGTACAAACAGCTTTGGAGCTTGCCAGGGGCCGGTCTTGTCATCCCAGGGACTTATCGAATGGCTCTCTGAAAATCCTTTCGACCACGGCTTGCACCACCGTCTGCCCCGTCCAACCCCATCGACCCCGTCCTACTGAGTAAAGCCTCCCTCCCCCCCCCCACACACGCACTGCTCGCTGCTACCTCACCACCGTCGACTGGCATCCAATTGCTTGGAAGCTCGCGGCCTGAGTCGCCTAGCGTAGAAGCGTCCGGGCCAACCCAAGGATTATTCGGCAACGTAGCCTGGCACGCCACGAACCAGAGCAAGCAAGACGAGCCAACCCTTGCTCGGCTTGACCTACCTACCCACGACTTTTCCTCCCTCTGCACGCGGTTATTGTAGATGTAGTGTGCGTGTGTAGGTATCGTATCGGCGCCTGAATGCCTGGGTGATGTCGAGAAAATGCGGAAAGAGGAGGAACCCCTTGGTGCGACACAGGCAGCCCATAATTTCGAATCCCAGTTAGGCCCAGCCTCGACGGGATTCCAACAACGCCGCTATCACCACCACGACTACGACTGCCACTACGACTGCCACTACGACCACGACCACGACTACGACCACGACCACGACCAACAACCACCTCAACCACACCTGCACCACCGCCGCCACCACGACCGCCACCAAGACCGCTACGCCCACTCGAACCCTAATTCTGCAGCATTTGACTCCTCCGACCACGAGGATTGCGACCCCGAGCCAAATCTTGTCCCGCATCCCACCCTGTCGCCCTCGTCGGAATTCGCATCCTATGCCTCACGCAACTTCCACGCCGCCCATGCGAACGCGACCAGTGTCGAGCCCGTGGGCGTCGTAGATCCCGACGATTTCTATAGGACTTATCGTGGCGTCCACACGTCTGTCGTGCCGGGCCCGGCCTACGACGGATTGATGGCGTCGACCCTGCCCGTCTCCCAGAGGCCAGAGCAGAACGTCTCCCTGCGATCCAACGGGCACCCTACCGCTCCGAGACACCCCCCCGCGGTCTCGACACGCTCCGGTCCGAAACCTGCCATGCGCTCTGTGTCCGCGCCTGTTGACGATAGACTTCCTGGTAGCACCTCTAGGTCGAGACCCGCAGCCGCCCCCGCGGCGCACGGGAACCGCGACGGACGTCGGCCCAGTGTAAAGGACCTGAAGCGAAGGTTTGACCAAAATGCGGTGCAGTCCAGCAGTAACCCTACAGCCCGCAAGGCCGCCCCACGCATTCCAACCAGAGAAACATCTTCGTCATCCGCAGGGTACCGTGGAGCCAGTGGCTCCTCTCCGACAAATGGCCAACCATCCTACGCAGCGGTGCGGTCGGCCGTGACGCGTGACTTTCCTTCTTCTTCTTCTGGAACAGGAGGGTCATCAGCGACGCGGGCCACACACAGGAACAAATCAGTGTCCGAGGACCAATTATCCAATAATTCCCAATCATTTGCCAGCCGAATAGCAAAGCCTCGAGTGTCGGTCGGCTCGCACCCCGAGGCGTCTAAATCGACGAGCAATCTATCCCCAAGCACCTCGCCCACCTCGCCCACCTCGATCCCGCCGTTGCCCCTGTCCCGCGCTCTCCTCTTCGGCGAGATCGCTCCCGGCGAACTAAATTCCGGAGCGGCAGGTTACGGGATCCAGCGCACTCGACCAAGGCGGACTTCGGACTCCAACCTGCGCACGCCGAGCGGTTTGCACCTGCGAAGCTTATCCCATACCGACGTCGAACCCCCCTCGCCGAGTGACTGGTACCGTAGTTTGAAAGGGGAACCCGCGATTCATGACCGTACCGATACGAAGACCCCGAGGCCCACCAAGGCCCACAGCCGGTCACATAGCGACGTTGCTGTAGCGAGGCAGGGTCTCGTACCAGCACCGTTGCAGGCGCCCCAAGAGCCGCGCTCAAAACCCCACACAGATCGGGGTCCGTCGTCGACAGCTTCAAGACTGCCGGTCTCGGTGCGGAAATTCAATTCTCCCTCGGGCTCCTCCAGCCCAACGTCGACGCGGTCGAGCTCACCAGCCACACGCAAACGCCCTCCCGTCCCAGGGAAAATGACCAAGCCGATACCGACCGTAGGAACCAAGACGCCCTCCAGCAGCTCTAGCTCCACAACGCGACGGCCAAATAGGCTAGGATCCGTTACTCCAAACGGTAGCACAAGACTCAACGCTTACATCTCAGCACCGGCACCCAAATCGTCCCCGCCACTGCGGAGCTCACGACCGCGCCAACCGGTATCTGCGGCGACCACCACGAGTTCGAGAATGAAGGCCGTCGAGAGAGGCCGGTCGCCGATGCGCGTCGACTCGAGAGCGGGGACGAGATCCAACGACCAGGGCCGACGACGAAAGATATCTATGGGCCCGATCGACTTCGAGTCACGACGGGCCCAGATCAAGCGGTCATACACGAAATCCATCCGAGAAAGCGAGGCGAGGGCAGCAGCTAAGAGGGCGGATGAGGAGAGGAGAAGAAAAGAGGAGGAGGAGGCCGAGGCTTTAAAGCTCGGATTAGAGGCCGAGCGGAAACGTCGGGATGAAAAGAGCCAGGAAGAGCTTGCCGGTGATGACGTCCAAAAGTTAACAGATACGGAAGCACCCAAAGCCGATCAAGCAGCATTGACCATCGCCACGAACCTTGTGCAGCATCGCCCAGGTGACGTGGCCGCAACACCCGGGTTCGTCCAGCAAGATTCCCCAACATTCGGTATACCGGGGAGTTTTCCAACTCCCGGAACGGCTGAGGATCAGGATGAGGCACCGCCCTCGGCAATCTCGAACACTACTGAATTTGACATCGATCCACAAACGGAGCCTCCGCTGCAAAACGTTTCTATACGGTTAGACATAAGCAAGACTAGCAACGAGACCAGCCCCTCTAGACCAACGTATCCGAAGTCGGAATATCGGTCTCCGTTCGAGGACGAATGCGCCGACGACGACGAGCTACCCATACCAATTCACGTCTCCTTAAATACTTCCGTAGAGGCCAGGCTGCAACCTGCGAACGAGACCGGTACGAGCCGTGAGATTCCGACCGCATACCAAGACGGCGACGGCGACGACGACGAGTACTCCCCACAGCCACTTCCATCTCAACCGTATCCAACGAAAGTAACGATCATTGGTCGTGATTCGAGTTTTCCACACTCCACACGAGACGGTAGTGGACCGATCTTCGCGAATTTCTCCAGCACCCAAGATTTTGGAGACAAAGATGTGCAGCTCAAACAAGCCGAGATTAGAGAGTTTCTTGCCGGGCAAATCGTCGAGGATTCCACGCAAAATATTCCGGAAGCTTCTAGCCCTAAAATACCGGAGAGCAATGGTATAGACTCGGAGAAACGAGGTGTAGAGGACCCTCGTTTCTCCACAGAACCTCGACAGACTATGGGCACGGTCCCGAGTCTCGCGGTGCCCAGAACTTCGGATTCCGCGAATAGAACGAGTCAAACGACGATTTGGACCGACTTCTCGTTTAACACCCAAGATGCGTACTCGGAGTATGAGTTCAAGAACCGGGATCTACCCAATCTCGACCCATCCTACCGCGACCACTCGGTCTCGGAGTCTGGCTCCGTTCCACGGGTATACCAGGGGGGGCGAGGCTCCGTAGACACATCTTGCAGCTCCGAGATGCCTCCTCGTAGACCTTCTGGAGAGCCAGAAGCAGCCTACCACAGACCACACCAGCTTCCGGAGCTCAACACGGGTGGTGGATTTGTCGTAGATTATATCCATCATGAGGACTGCTCTATCCCATCGTTACCAGACCACTCGCCGCCCCCACCTCCCGATGAGGTCTCTCTCCGCGATGCCTCCAGTTCCGCCCCACAGAGCGAATACATCGACGAAACGAGGCCTAGCAGCTATGTGCAAGGCGGGAAAGATGACCAGAGCGTGTTCTCGATGGGTACCTACCGGGAGAGTGAGGATTTTAGCCGATCTGAGTCAGTCTCTCGTGCCGTTTACCCCAACTCCTATGAAGCCTCTACTCGCTCTGTTCTAGACAGCCGCCAGACGTTGGCGGACAGCATCGACCAAGCCGACGACGGTACCGGACTCTCGGCGAAGGAGAAAAAACGCCTCTTCACGCGTCTCGAAACCATCAAGGAGCTCATCGACACCGAAGCATTCTTCATCAGGGACATGAACATCGTCGAAGAAATCTACAAGGGGACGGCAGAGGCTTGCCCCCAACTCGACGACAAGACGATCAAATTAATTTTTCGCAACACCGATCAAATCATACAATTTCACTCAGAATTCCTGGTGGAACTGAAGGAAGGCGTCTCTAGTGTATACACCCCCAGAGTGCATCGGACCCCACCGCCGAAAGAGTCCCCGAGCCCATCCGACGGCACCGCCCCCTCAATCGCGTCGCCGGCGGCATCGACGCCTCTCACGGGAGAACTAAACGACGATAGGGACCGACAGACATCGCTTGGGCCGATTTTCATTCGGAATGTGGAGAAGATGAAGGTGGCGCATGAGACCTTTCTCAAGAACAGCGACCATGCTGCGAAACGCCTCATTCAGATTCAGGAGGACCCGACGGTCAAAGTTTGGTTGAACGAATGCAACGAGGTCGCAAGGGACTTGACGAAGGCGTGGAATCTGGATTCACTCCTTATCAAACCAATGCAGAGGATCACCAAGTACCCAAATCTTCTCATCCAACTTCTGCACGAAACGCCGACAGACCACCCGGATCGTCCGTTCCTCGAGTCCGCCAAGACCAGCTTAGAAAACGCGATAGAGGAAATCAACAAGACGAAGAAGAATTTCGAACTAGTCGGGCAGATAGTGGGTAGAAAACGCAAAGAGTCCGACGTCAGGGCCGGGTTCGCCAGGGCATTCGGAAAAAGGGTTGACAAGCTACAAGCAACCCACAAGCCCCCCGAAGATCCAGAGTACCTCAAACTTCACGAGAGATTCGGCGACGACTACCTTCGACTTCAGGTTGTGTTACGGGATGTCGAATTTTACACGAGGCAGGTGACCGAATACGTCCACGAGTTCCTGCAATATCTCTCTTCAATGGAACTCGTCATGCGGTTGCAGCCCTCGCCTCACCCCGAGATCGAGAGCAAATGGGTTCGCTTTAACGTATCTATGAGAGATATTGAAAAGGTTGCCCTAGAGCATCATGTCGGTAACAATCCGCCCCATTCGTTTACCGTTGAGACTAACCAGCACCCCTAGCTCTCCCAAGTTCGAAAGCAGGTCATCGAGCCTTTCGAGCTTGTGATCAAGTCGTACGGAAATCCGTCCCTCGCTATGAAAAAGAGGGCCAAGCGCCGATTAGACTATGAAAAGTCGGTCCAACTAAAGAAAAGCGGTAAGAAGATCGACAAACAACTTTCTGAATTCATCGAGCAGTACGAAGCCTTGAACGAGGCTTTGAAGAAGGAGCTGCCAAAGCTTTCTGCGTTAACGGAGAAAGTGGGCAATATTTGCCTTGGGAATTTCGTCAACATACAGGCGAAATGGTTTGCTATTTGGAAAGAGAAGGTTAGGGTAGTGCTCGAAGACTCCGAGGTGCCAGAGGTGTCCGATATTTTGTCCACGTTCCACCGCGATTACAAGTTTCAAGACGAACAGATCAATACGATTGGCATCGTGAACCCGGCCTCTAAGGGCAGGCCATCCCAATCGACCAGCACGGACGAGTCCTTTGCAAGGCTCCGCCCGCGACCGTCCGAGCTCTTGGCCGCTCGCGGTCGAGGGCTGTCCCTGAGCAGCGACGCCGCCCCGAGTTTGCCAACGCCCGACTTCATGAAGCGTCATAGCGGCCAGTTCACTATCTCGCCCACTTCCGCTTCTATTCCGAGCCCCCACCAGTACTACTATCGCGATTATTATACCGGTGCCAACATGCAGGGGCGACCGAATTCCGGCTCACCCCATACTCCTGATTTGTCCGGTGTTTCTCGATCTATTGGTACGGCGTCCATCCGTCCCGGGACGGGGCAGAGCCACGACTCTAGTAGCGGCTTCCCGAGGCAGAGTATGGAGTCAACTCCCCACTCTAGACACTATTCCAATTCCACGTATACTTCGCAGTATCAACCGGCCGATAACCAGCGTTACTCGGGTCTGTTCCAGTCTGCCTTGCCCCCGTCTGATAGCCAAGAACGTCTTCCGCGACCATCTCAAGCCTCATCTCGTGCTTCTTCCCGAGAGAGGCAACCTATCAACGGATACAACGTCCTGTGGCTAGCAGCCTCCCTCTTCGAATTTAACATTGAAACTACTAAACATGAAGCCGGGTACCCTTACCTAACGTACCAGGCGGGAGAGGTTCGTGCATCTAGACCCAAATTTGCCGTAAAGTAAATCACTAATGGGAATCTCGTCAATAGATATTCGATGTCATAGCTGAGAAAGGCGAGCTGTGGCTCGCCAAAAACCAGGACGACCCCAACAACCTAGTCGGATGGCTATGGTCCAAGCATTTCGCCAAGTTGGCAGATGATTAGATCGAATGATTTCTTATTGTCTTACACGTACATTTTCTTACACGTCTGTTGGTTCCTGCTCATATCACTTCTTGCGATACCACGAAGGCTGAGTCCTCACCCACTATTTTGTCATTTGACTACCCCCCTCCCCCCCCCCCTTTTTTTTTCCAAAAAAAGGAAATGGTAGAGAAGTCCCTTTGGAAAGGTCTTCTTGAGTCTACTTTCATATGTAACAAAACTCCGGCAAGAGCTCAGACAGCAATGCGCACTGTTGGGCGAGGCGCGGGCGAGCATGGCGTTTCTTCGTTTTGGTCGGGCATCATCTACTACTACTATTGCTGTACGACGCAACGGGATACGACGTGATTCGGAGTACAAACTATAAGGACGGCGAAGAAAGGGATCTCAGCGACAAAAAAATTACCCGAAAAAAAAACACTTCGTTTCTTTCCCGTGCTGTCGTCCTCTTAGGACGGCACCCTCAGCTCTAGAGCCTGCACAATTGCGGCACATTGCCTCTTCAATAGGCGGCTGGCGAGCATGGACAGTTGGTCTCGGTTTCGATCGCCTCTATGTACCTTTGACCACTTAGATGCGGAATTTTTGCGGCAAAAACGGAACGGGACCGGAATTGGAGAGGTTAGGAGGCGATGGGAGAGGGCTCTCTATCTCAGCGACCCAGTCCAGGGTGGCCGATATTATAAGCTACTTTCTTGTCCCAGCACCTACAAAGTTCTAATAAAAATTCATAATAAGTCATCTATATCCATTGTCTCCGAGAGGGAATCGTGATGGCATGCTATTACTAACTCCTGCATCTTGGAAAAGTCCCCCGCATACTTCTAAGGTGTAAGGACAAGGGAGAGCAAGCAGGTTGGTGTCGCATAGGACCCGCTGGTCACCAGAATGTGCCTCTTGGGGAAGACTAGTGCGTAGCAGGCTTGAAAAGAGCGTACACGGTCGTCGGTATCGGGTTTTACTCTATGCGAGAGCTTCCATAGTTCTCCGCTTGTCTCCTTCACTTCAGGCTCCCCTCCACACGTCTCTCTCTGCCTATACCTATATACGTGCTCCCCTCCCCTCGGTCTCTAGCTCTCTCTCCGTCCCGCGCCTCCCGCGACTTTCATAACTGGGTTTGCAGGCGGTCTACGGTAAATGCTGCGAGCATGTATGTATGCGTGCGTGTGAGGCACCCAGGCAGGTAAGGGGGGAGCGGGTAGGCAGGTAATTTCCTTACCTACGTCTCCTCGGCGCAGCCTACCTACCCGCCTGCCTGACCTACCAAGAAGTTAACCGGGGGAGGGGGGGTTGCGTCTACCCGAGCGCGGGGGCCCACCGCTTCTTCCCGCGCCCTCGTGTCTGGCTCGCTCCCCTCCCCCCTCTCTCTTCCTCCCGAATTCGGCCGGCTCGCCGCGGGCGGGAACGGGATGGGCTGGCTTGGCTGGCTGGCTCGGTCTGGACGAGATGGATGGGACGGGAGGGCGGTGAGTGGCGCGGGGGGGGAAGGGGGAAGGGGTGTGGTGGTGTGGCTAGGCGAACGTGTTAAGAGGTCGCCATGTTACGTGTATGTGCGCGCACATATGCGTAAAGGGGGGAGAGAAGCGGAGGGGAAGTAGGGATGTGGCTGGTAGACAGGGGGCGGGGGGGTTCGGCCGAGGACTGACTGCGTATGTATGGTACTTGCGGCCATAGCTACCTATCACTTGCTACTAGCTGCGCGAAAGGAGGAGGAGGAGGCAAGGCAAGGCAAGGCAAGGCAAGGCAAAGGCACAGGCGGGGGAGAGGCAACGCGGACGCGAGGGACCTTCGGCCGCGTGGCCCCAGAAAAACGGGAGGGTGAGGCTCGGCGGGACGAGCGAGGCCGGCTTCCCCGATCGGGGGGGCGTGGCCTGGCTTGCTCGTCCCGTCTCGCGCTCCTCGCTCGCTCGCTGCTCGCGCCCGCGTCCCAACGCGCTGTGGCCGGCGTGCTTTCGGCAGGCAGACAATACCCACGTACCCGCAGCCTGCTCTCTTCGCGGCCTGCCGGGCAGCGAGCTGCTTCCCGCCTGTCTGTTTGTTTCCCTGTTTGCTTGCGTGTTTTTGCAACGCCGGCCTCTCCCCCCCTTTCCTCCCTGGTCCTGGCCCTCTCCGTTCGCGGTGGAGCGAGGATGGGGTGATGGACGTGCGCACGCACGCTCGCGCGTATGTATGTAGGTGAGGCAGATATGTAGGTGATGTTTGCTTTGGACCCGTTGTCTCGCCATGCCCATACTAAGTAAAGCACGTAGGAAGGCAGTGCCGGTGCGTTAGCATGGCCGGGTTTCTTCTCCAGCGACGAGCTCCCAGTCCAATGGCACCGTCTCTCTTGCCGAGAGGGCAAGGAGGGCCCCCGTTACACAGTGCCGGGGGCTTCGGAGAGAGGGAGAGAAGACACACAGAGAGAAAGAGAGGTCAAACTGGACATGGTGGGCGGGCAAGTGGAGAGAGGTAGGCAGGGAGAGGATCCGTCGCTGCATTTCGTACGTGCCTATAGTATATCTCGGTAGTGTTGGGTCTATGTACGGCATAGCTGCCTGCCCTATACGTTACAGCTATGCTTCCCTACCTACTGGGCTTACTCGCACGCCCAAGAGGGTTATTCTCTGTCGCCGTCCCACCTGATGCGGCAGGCAGTAAGCTTGGCTCATGCTAGGTTGAGCGGGCTAGGTACCGAATCGATGGTATCGTCTCTGTCCGACTTCTCGGGTATGTAGCGGCTGCTGATCCCGTTGGCTTGGATGTCGGGATGGTATGGCACGGATATGGGTTGGTCTCGACCATTCTGCTCTTCCCACACCCCCCCTCCGGCTGCCCCCAGTCACCGTCATCCTGTCTTCTCCGGTCCTTCTTCTTTGCGGAATGGCAGGTTGCCTACCGGATTGCTTACCTTCTCCACGCTTACCTGTAGGTATGGTATGTGTGCCCTGCAAGTTACATGCCCTGTGACTGGGGAGGTGGTAGGTAGCAATAGGTAGTAGGTAGGTATGCCTATGCCAACATGCTCCGTCCTGCCGCCATCCTATGTAGGCATGTCGAGTTGGTGCTGGGTTGAACGTGTCGTCGCCAACGCTACTACTATTTTTGTTATTCCGTGCCCGGGAATTTATCTTATCTGTACTGCATGGTGTGTAGATGGACAGTAAGGCTGACCACCCCATACACCTACCAACATACCTTAAAAGGGCTATCGAGATCTCTTTCGGTGAGGCGCAGCGAAGATCTTTAACGAGGCTGTAGGCTAGAGGGACCCGCTACTAGCTGCCGGAACTTCTACATATAGGTATACATATAACGCCTTAGGCCATCTACGGTATCCATTTCGTATGGCGTTTTACGTATGAGCTGTGTGAAGGCTTGCGGACTGTCGCCAGTAGGTAATTGTCGGTCTAGCCTACAAGTCCTGGTTGGTCCGCATACTCGGCATACGTAGGTAGGCATATAGGTAGGTATATGGACTCTTCTCTCTTGATGTACCTAATGAACACACACCTACCTACTTGTCTCATGCCTAACTAGGTAGCTGAGAGTGCATCGCCATGTAGTCTTAACGCGCGCCAAGGACTGAGGACCAAAACGGGCCGCTAAGCCCTGCGGGTAGGTGAACTGGGCATAGCGAATGGGACGACTGTGTGTATTTGCGTATGCTTGTGTGTACGTATGCGTGCGTACGTATGTGCGTGGATGGTCTGATGTCTTCAAGCATCGTTCGAGGCGGCTGAACAATCTCTACGAAACTTACTTTTCGAAAGCTTTCCTGCTGAGATGAGGACGATCGTGGGAACGTAAGAACGTAAGAAAATGAGAGAAAGATCCCGATGTCTAACAACCCGCATGCACGGAACTACACCACCTCTACCGACCCTCCAGGGTTTAAATCCAACGGCACGGCACGGCCGAGCATTTTGGACGGATGACAGGGGTGAGAGAGAGAGCGATGAAGAAGTGAGAGAATCATGGATAATCATACCTGCCCTTTATCCATACGCGCCACACATCGAACACACCCCATACACATATATGTTTACATACCTACATCACGTACGCCCATCCGTACATATGTATATGCACAGTCGATAGCAAGTATGTAGGCATGTATGTAGGTACGAGGCGGCGTAACCTCCTGACCTGGCTTACCGCGGCAGATCGGTCCACGCCCGACTCGCGAAAACCAGATCCGCGCACGGGCAGGCCGGAGAAGAAGAAGAATGGAAATGGAGACGATCTGAACGCGTGGGTTTGACATGACAAATCTGGCTTTGCTATGTATGCCAAGCGGTTGATGGCCTGATGCCCTGAGGGGGCGATGGCTATTCGCATGCACATACAGCGTACGCACTCAGTTGTCAGTGGACGAGACGGACCACTGCCTAAAGGGTTCCTCTATGTGAATACAACGTAAGTACATACATATACCTACATGCCATATGAGGCATGTAGGTAGGTATATGTGATATGGACGTAGGTATGTCTGGGTATGTGTGTACATATAGGTGTGTGCGTTGAGGATACCGACTCTCTCTCTGTCCCATGCGTCAACCCCAGGTCGTCTATCTGCATACATACCCGCATGAGGCGGGGTCCATCCATCTGCGGTCGGCGAGGTCTTTTGCAGTCGACCAGTTACCGACTTGACCGCCATGTACCGTCGGTACATATATAGCTATGTGCGGGTGTATGGTATCTACCTACACACAATAATACTTATAGAACATGCGTACGTGTACGTATGTCGGCATCCAGCCGTTTGCATGCCTAACCCTGCTCACCTAGTTTCTGTAGGACAACGAACATGACCTACTACATTGGTGCGGATGCTCGACGCTAGGATATATGGAACACAGCAGAAAAACAAAAAGCGCCAACGTGAGGCGGGAGACAGGGGGCGAGAGGGGTGGGCTACGTAGGTATGGGAAAGCGAGGGAGAGCAGACAGGTAATGTGCGTAGTAGACGACAGACTCACGGACGGTCAGCGTCAGTAAAGTAAGCCCGGCTTGATCCCCACTCGATCCCAGCTAGCCCCGGTGACGGATCGTGACCCCTCGAGACTCGGGCCTGGGTCGGGATGCAATGCGATGTTGGGGAGGTTCGGTATGTCCACATCCAGTGAGTATGTATTCCGTAAATGGTAGGGTATGAGTATAAACGTTGGCAACGAGCGCTTTGTACCTGTGAATGACGATGGCGATGATGACGACGGGTGAGCACGCATGCATCGTATGTAGGGAACATCCCTCGTAAGAAATAGATGCAGAGTAATGATACCCGAAGGCTTATTCTTATTACGAGCAGGGACATGTGCAGGTGAGGCGATGAAAAAAAAGAAAGAAAAACAACCCCCCTCCCCCCCTACATCGCGAACTTTCTCGGGGGTCTCTGTAAAAGATAAAGTGTTACATCCCTGCCTTATCTACCTGCCTACCCATCTGCTTATACGTAGGTATATCGTCTATCCGCACGTACAAGTATTTCACCCGTCCTCCCTTGCCTGGGTCCCTGCATGTGGGAGCAGCGACAAGCCGGAAGCTCGGCGGAGGCGACGGGAAACCTTATTCACGGAGGAGGGGGAGGAGTTGAGAGGAGGGAGGATGAAGATGTGCAGGAGACGAGAAAAATGACAGACGATACCTAGGTATTAGAAGACCCCAGGCTGTGGCACCCGGTAGGCAAGGGCCGAGATAGCATGGTGACATCGACTGCAACAGTGGGATGCTAGCCGAGCAAGTCCCGTGCCCTAAAATAAAGCTTGGCTTGTGCTGGCTGATGGGAGAGGGAAGAAGGGAGGGAAAAGGAGGGGGATGGGATGGGATGGGAGGAGCGGAGAGGAGAGAGGGAGGATGGGGGATGGGGGATTGAGAGAAGAGGGGGGGGGAAGGGGAGAGATTCGATGACCCAGGTTCTCTGCTACGTACATACAACATACATATTCACACGCGCACACACACATGCTTACATGAGCGGTCCCGAAAAGTCGGGTGGCTTAAGAAGGCGGCGTCGCTGTGTACCTACATAATCGCCCAGCGACGCCACCGGGCCAGCTGTTCTCGGGTCGACATTGGCATGTCTCTTCTCAAGGATAGGGGAGGCGGGGGGGACAGCAGATGGCAAGCCCCGCAGGATGGGATGTATCGCAGAGTTGTAATGCGATGTATGGATGTATGCACGATGCATTTGATGTATGCGGGCCTCCAAGCGAACCCAGGGGTGAGGGAGCGAGGGAGGAGGCCGTTCTACCGTGTTGTATCAGCATAGGATTCGGCCAGAGGGTCGGTCGGTCAACCGACTCCTGCTGTCCCCACACGCACGCACGCGTGCATACACACATCTACTTCCCCCTCTCGCCTTCATGTTCACATACGCGCATATAGGCATAACTAGCAGACGAGCGTTGGAAGGAAGGAAGGCGAGAAGAGAAGGACGAAGAGCGGGAGGGGATAGAAAGATACCCAGCATACCTTTCCTCGTCTTGGTATAATATCCTGGGGAATCTTGCGTGGTGAGGTAGAAGTCCGGGCTGTCGGGGTCTTTAGTGCTCGGGGAAAGGCCGAAACAATCTCTGGATATCGTACGAGGGGCATTTTTTTTTCTTCTCCCAACCCTCTCCTCCCGCCTCTAGCCTGGCCTATACGTAGTACGGAGCGGGAAGTCGTTCTCTTGTTCCCACCTACATAGGCAGGTCTATACATACGTTTGGAGTATGTAGTTCGCCTTCTGTCCAGATAGGCAGTTCAGATATATGCCCTATGCCCTATATGTGCCTGGCATTGCAGGGTCCGCAGGAGAGTATGTAGGTAGGTACATACACACACGGATTGCCTTCCTAGGCTGTAGTTGTGCACGATGCATCGTCCCTCTTCCTTCCCTTCCTTCTCTCTCTCTCTCTCTCTCTCTCTCTCTCTCTCTCTCTCTCTCTCTCTCTCTCTCTCTCTCTCTCTCTGTCTGTCTGTCTGTCTCCCAGGTTACTGCCCACTTAGGTGTCAACCCTCTTACGACCTGGTCGACACCTAACTTCAGGGGTCTCAGAAACAGGCAGCAAGTGAGTACCACCGCATTTTCTGGGCATGTCAACTCCGAGTCATGCTATGCAGGATTCGATTTCGGGCCAGCTGGAAAGGGGATAGAACCGGAGAGCCAGTGCTACCCCACGAGCTAGCTGTTGTATCTGTTTCCGTGTGCAGCGACGCCTTCGCATTCCCGTACGCCACCGCATGTATAATACCTACATAATATACCACCACCGCACCTAGAGGTAGCTTGTATCTAAAGCTGTATACATAAGGCAGCTTAAACGAAAGCGAAGAGAGAGAGGGGGGGGGCATTGCGTGTTCATGTGGATTGGACACTGAAAATTAGAACCCAAATGCAATTAGTTAAAGGAGAAGAAGAAGTGGTAGAGGGTTATAATTAACTCTCTATTGTTCTACTCTATGGTATGGTACTACATAGGCAGCAATTGCGAGAACAATTCAAAGCGCCCCCCCAAAAAAATTGCCGGGGAAAAAAAAAAGAGGAAAGGGATCAAAGCGTTGGCGGTAAACGGGGGACGGACGGCATCTGCTAGGTGCGTAAATTGGTGGTCTATCTAGGTGTATATTGGTGGGCATTCATACACATAGGTAGGTATATCACATAGGTACACCCATGCTGGTCCCATTTCTAAGCAGACGCAGACCGCCACGAGCGAGCTTAAACATGTGGTCAACGCGATGCAACGCTCAGGAATGCATACATATACATACGGGTATATATATATATATATGCCACATATAATAGGCATGTATACCTGGTACGGGCGAGAAAAAGACAACCCGCACCCATCACCACGGGTCTTGTCGAGACGGTGGAGCTGCTACGGCTGGTACGAGTTACATGCCTGGGTAATGTGTATGCATGCGTGCATGCATGCATGTAAGTCAGCCAGTCAGTCAGTCAGTCAGTGAGTCAGTCAGTCCGCTGGAGAGTTCTGTCTGGCGTGAGGGCGGCAGCGTGCCTTAATTTTAGCCGGCAGTTTTGGGTTAACCTGGCCGTCACATCTGGTATGCCGGAAGAGAGAAGAGAGAGCGCGTGTGCGAAGAGAGTTGAGAGCGAGGGCGAGAGAGACGTTGCTACCATCCATACTACGTAGTAATTTGTACAATACATGCCTGGCATGATACGACTATTGATAATAGCATAGCATTATTATCATCATTATTGCTATAGTTGCTGCTCTTATACCCCTACATCACGTCTGCTCACGCTGGCACATGGACTTGCCTAGCAGTCCGGGTGCTCGCTTCCCCAGTGCCGCGAGTCATGTTCCGTCACATTCCGCACTCTCGCCCCGGCCTCCTCGGTCGCGTCACGATCCGGCATTTGCGCGGCCTACGACGCCCTGCGGAATGGGCAATGGGGGAGTGGCAGTCTGACAGCATAAGCACCAGCAGGCATCGCTTCTCTGGGTTGGGCAGCACATGGGGTACCTATGCGTCCGTCGCGACAGGAGCACGCTTAGTGAAGGAGGCCGGAGAGGAGAGTGGGATACCCTCTATCAGCATCGCAGCCGTCATCCTCCTCCACAGTCGGCTCCGGGAATACGGCACCCAATCAGCCGGCGCGCTCGCGCTCTCAACAACGTCTACAAACAGCTTAGTATAGCGCAGGCGGTTCGCGGTCGCCGGCGCAAGCGGTCTTAGCGGATTTACCTACGTGTTCCAATACGGCGTGTGTCTGTACTCATAGTTCGTTCGCCGAGGGGATTCGATAGGTGCCTGAGGTATTTGACGATACCAGCGGGTAGATAGGTAGATACCTACCTAGGTAAGATCGTACATTCGGCAAGGTAAGATCGTGCATTCGGCACCTCCTACCTATAACTCGCAGCCACATGGAGGGCTGATACCGGGATTTCTACACACGAACAGGACGACGGGTACATCGTGCGGGATGCCATACCTAGGTGTACATTAAGCTCCCCCTTTGCCTTCGGGTAGGTAGGTACGTAGGTAGGTGCCCTCACCTCCCGCTCACATTAGCTACCTACCTATCTCAATAACCCTAATGTAGGCATCTTCTAGGAGCCTCAGGTGTGCGCATGGGATGCCGCGAGAGGTAGGTATCTGCTCAGCGGGATGCAGCAACGCGGGATCTACCTACATAAGCCCGCCTTACACGGCTCCGTCCAAGGTCCGATCTCTACCGGTGTAGGCGCCTACCCTCCTCCTACCTACCTAGGTACCTCCCTCCCTACCTTGGGCAGAGATGCCTGAGAAGCAGGAAACAAAGCGTGGCTGGATGCCGTACCTTGTGTGGCGGCTCACGTTCGCCGAGGGAAATTAGCACATCGTATGCTCATCAGATACCTGCCTAATACCTCGCAGCATGTGTGGGCTCTTGAGCTTATCAGGCTCAAGTCCCGGCAGTGCTGTGAGCTAAAATGCCGGTAAAAACTTGGGTAGCGGGAGCTGTCATTACTAGTATATTTCCCACAAGCCAGACTGTCTATACTGCCTTCGATGTGATCTGCTACCACTTACTCATACACGTGGGTTGCGCTTAGCGGGCTGCCTTACCGCAAGTAGGTAGAGGTTGCCTGCGAACCCACCATCGTGGTGCAAAAGCTCCGATGCAATGGGCTTATCCCGTGCCCATACCTATCGCGATCTGCACCAGGCGGATGGGCTGCAGGGATGACTAGGTAGGTAGGTATGTACATAGGGCGTAGAATAGCAATGCTGGTACGGAGTACATGTACACATATATATATGGCTTTTGTATCGTATATAGGTAGGTATGCCTGTATACACACGTATATATATATATAGGTATTATATCATACATGTAGTTAAATATTGAGTTGTCTGTGCACCTACTTAGCCTACCTGGGACCAGTGCGATGGCTCGTGAAGGACAGCAGGCCTACCTTGGATACCAGGTGCCCACCTTAGGTACCTTAGAGGTAGAGGTAGGTACCTACCTAGGTAGGAGGCAGATATTGTAGGAGCTACGGGACTTTCCACAGCTTCTTCGTCTGCCCATGCAAACCTTCCATACTAAGGTCCCACGCTACTGAGTATAGTATGGACCTGTTTGCAGGTGCGTGTATATGCATACCTAGGTAATGTGCATACCTGCATGCATCGATACCGCGTACGGGCATACGTAGGTACGTATACTGCCAAACAGGCTAGGTCAGGCTAGGTTAGGCGCCTCTGGGCGTGCTGGGCCCACACCCCCCACCAGGCCAGGACCCCACCCTATCCATACACACAGCATATGATAGGTACCCGCCTTTCCGTACCAGACATTACCCTGTCCCCTGGGATCCGTGGCAGGTACCCACCTACCCACCTAGGTACCTACTACCTCCCTATGAGTAGGTACCTGAGGTAGGTACTATGCTTATGAGTATGGGCCGCACATACCTGAGGGTATGTACCTCTATACTCATACATAATGTAGGTACCTAAGGTACCTGCCTCGTCCCATGTATGTAGGTACATGCACCTTACCGGCCCCGGTCCTTGCCGCGAATAGACTGGTGGCGCCCTTGCTTTATTAAGGTTTGCGCCTCTCGCTGTCGTCTGTCCCCCTTCTCTCGGCACAAGGTCAACTCCTTCCCGGCACGCACACACACACACGCACCCGCGCACCCAGTCCCAACTCGCCCACTCCTCCTCCTCCTCGTCTCCGCCCCCATCGTCGTTGGGCCGCACCAGCATCCCTACCTTCTCGAGACAGCCCGGTGGGTTGCTGGACTGGCCGCCGTATGTATGGTATTCCCATCTTGGATTTATGAGTAAGGTGTCTGGTGACGCGACGATAGCAACGACGAGGACCTCTGCAGCATACAAACCCGCCACGACGCCGCCCGCCACGCCGTACGCTCTCTCGTGCCGCCTGCCCGCCTGCCTGCCCGCCTGCCTGCCCGCCTGCCTGCCCGCCTGCCTGCCTGCCTACCTGCCTGCCTGCCTACCTACCTACCTACCTACCTACCTAGGCCGTTAGCTGCCCGCCTCCTACGTTCGCTGCCTCGTTATGCCCTCCATGCACATAGGCATACATACACTTACCTAAGTATCACCTACCTACCTCCCAGGGGAGGCACCCTGCCTACACGTACATACCCACATACATACGCCTACATGCATATTCCTACATACATATACATCGCATACCTCCCACACACCGCATACATCCCACATACCTGCCGACATCAGGACATACCTACATCGCAGGACCTGCTATACGTGCCATACCCTCGGCACGTCGTCCTGTCTTGACGTCTCTGGCCGTCCGTCGTTTCTATTCTCGTTTTCCTACCACGTTTCGCGAAACACCCGAACGACACCGCTCCCCGGCCTCGCGACAGGTCGACCCGTCCCAACTAGCCGAACCAAGTCGATTCAGACGAACCCGAGCCAGACCGAACCAGTCCAGCCCTCCACCCATCGCATCGTAAACAAACTGGGGACGGCCGCACGCTGGCAATTCGCTCTTCCTCACCCACCACTCCCACCACTGCTGCTCCTCCTCTCAGCCAGAGAGCGAGAGCCATACACGCACGCACGCATACATACACGCACACGCACACGCACACGCACACGGCCCCTCCCACCTCCCTCTTTCTCCCTCTCTCTTTTGCCTGTCTCCCTCCCCACCTGTGCGCGCGTGCCTCCTGCTGCTCCGTTCCATTGGAAAATTCGAATGCGGGTTTCCTGTCGGGTCCACCGTTGAGACTACATGACCTTCGCCTCGACCACTCTGCCGCTTGTCGTGCGTCCTTATATATATATCTTTTGTTGCTCGGATCCTTATCAGAGGACAGACGCTCCGTCCTTTATACACTTTTAAGCACGCTACTCTCGTACCTTGAATCGGTCTGCCTCACCCTACGGCCCAAGACCTCAGACCGACTATTCGACTACCCTCCACCCCCAACGGTCACGCTTCCCGCCTCAACCCCTTCCTGGGACCCAGCTGGCCTACGTCAAGGCCTGAGCCGGCCGCTTTCGCTACCCAGAGCTCGAAGAGCGTGTTTGGGCAACAACTAGTATCGGCGACACCTATTAAAAAAGACACCAAGGCAAGATGAGCTCAGGATATCCGGCTCCGCCTATTCACCACTCGCAGGCCTTCCCGCCAGAGATGTCGGGTCCCTCCGCGCACCATCCGGGCTATGCCCAACTCCCTCCTCCCATGCCGTCAAACCCATACTACCAGCAGGACTCCATAACCAACCCTCACCGCGCCGGCATACCCCCTCCCCGAACCAACATGGCCCCGCCTACCATGCCTGGTCCCAGAGACCGCACAGAGCTCGTCGCAACTGAGAACGGGATCAACGGTCCCGGCTCCAACCAGCTCACCTCGAAGCCTGGGGCCGAGGAGAAGGACAAGCCTGCTCCCCAACCAATCGAAGGCACCGATGCAACGCGGAAATACAGGTACGTCGATCTTCAACAACCTCCTCTGCCTGAGGCATGTGTTTTCCCCCCCTTTCCCTTCTCCTTGCGTCTCTTTGTTTTGTCTGTCGTGTCTCCGGTACTAAGAAAAGAATTTGGGTTAGACTCGAAGTTGTCCAGCAACCTCTTAGGGCGAGAATGTGCGGGTTTGGTGATAAAGTGGGTGCATCCCATTCTACATATCTGCCGGCCGGAAACCTAACGCCGAGCAGGACCGACGGCCTATTACTCCTCCACCTTGTATTCGACTAGTCGTGATGGACAAGACTACCGGCAAGGAGGTGGATTGCAAGTATGTCGGACCCCTCCGGTCGCCGGAGATCGTTGCTAATGTTGGGATAGCGAGGTCGAGCACCAACACTACGTGTTGCACGTCGATCTTTGGTCCGAAAATGGCGACAAGGAGGTCAACCTCGTCAAACATTCGCAGCAGTCGCCCTCCATCTCGTCAACGCAAGCTTCGTCGTTCCGGGAGGTCATTGAAGGCAGTCAGGCTGCCGGCTATGGATATCAGTCCATTGTGCCATCCAATCGCGACTACGCTCAGCAAACTAGCGCTGGGTATCCTCACACGATGCCCCCCTATCAGCCGGACCCATACGGCCCAGGAGGTAACCACGCCTCCGCGCCACGCGTGCTCGATTCGTGTTTCTTACGTGCTCTTTAGGCTACGGGTATCCACCACAAGTACAACCGTACGGCTATCCTACGAACTACCGAAGCGACATGGGCATGTCGCAACTGCCATCACAACCAATGTTCGGCCCCCGCTTCTCCCAGGACATACCGGGGCACCAGATAAACCACAGCCGTCTGATGGGGACGCAATCCCCGAATGGCATGTATACGAGGAATCTCATAGGCAGCCTGGCTGCGAGCGCGTCGCGCCTCACGGACCCTACGGATAAGATAGGCATCTGGTTCATCCTGCAGGATCTCAGCGTCCGAACAGAGGGGTGGTTTAGGTAATGCCCCCGGCCCTCTCAACCCCGCCCCTGCTTCCTCCGTGCGAAAGCTCACACATGTCCGCAGGTTGCGTTTTTCGTTTATCAATTTACGACGGCCGGATTCGACCACCAACAGCGGTAGCGACGCCGAACTCCTGAACAGAGGCAGGGCGCCGGTTCTCGCCCAAGTCTTCAGCGAAAAGTTCCAGGTCTACTCGGCCAAGAAGTTCCCAGGCGTCTGCGAGAGCACCGCGCTCAGCAAGTGCTTCGCCGTGCAGGGCGTCAAGATCCCGATCAGAAAAGACGGCCAGGATGGCAAAGGAACCAAGGGCCGAGGATCCGACGACGAGGACGACCAGTAGAGCTTCGTGTCTAATCAACGGGCGTCGGAGGACGAAGTCAGCTCTGTTGCCCCTCTCTTCTCACCCCTCCATCCTCGGACTCGGCCGCATAGGTTCGGGACTGGGGCGTCTCCTCTCGCCGACATCCCCTCGATATCTCGTGGGCGGGAAAGTAGGGGGTCAGCTCCCACATATGGAAAGGAGAGGAGGGTGGGTCCCATGTTAACACTGCAGTACGAAGAGTGAGAGCGGGGGAGGGATCTGGTAACCCTAGGGGGGGGGGGGGACCGCGAGGTTCAATTCAGTCCCAACATACGTTGGGATGGCTAGGTTTTTTTACTTCAGCGTTAGGCTTGCGGACCGAGGGATTGGTTCTGCAATATACCCACCATCAACACGAAGCGAACGTTAGGCACGGAATGAATCTGACTTGAGCTGACGACGCGATGGACACGCTATCTAAGGAGGGGGTCGCTCGATGGACAGGGTGCGTGCTCGGGTGTGGTCGAATCGGGCGTCCCGGCGGCGTGTCAGGTAACGTTCGGTATGCCGAGGACCTTATTCGATCCTCGAGCCCGCTCGTCCGAGGTCAGGATGGCAGGCGTTGCCGACCTACTGTGACACTTTGTGTAGAAACCCTAGGGTGGGAGTGATGGGACACCTCATCTCAGCAAATCACCGTCGAGGCGGAGTTATGTAATAGACACTAGGCGCCGAGCACTGGGGTCATGGACCTCCTGATGAGGGTATGTAATATGGGGTACATTAGGTACTTTGAACACCGGTAGCTGTCTAGAGAGCCATCATCCGGTCTCATGGAAGAGTAAACTATATGCGCCGACCTCTTCGATCGCATCTTGAACTTTGGTGTAGGTAGATGGGAAAGGTTGAGGGGCGACGACGGGTGCCTCCCCAGGTACATGTCATGCCCACCAACCATCACGCCTGCGTGCCATAGAGGTAGGTACCTACCTACATATAGAGGTTATACCTGCATCCTTGTATTAGGTACCTTAGGAGGTACCTAGGTACCTAGGCAGGTGCCTCGTGTATGAACCCGCCTCCTAAGGTGCCTGACCCTACCCCAGTGGCCTACCACCTACGTGTGGTAGAGACATTCAGACGGTGAAAGGTTTCCTGTCAATCGGATATGCCTTGTTCGGCACAGTTTGCCGCCGGCAGGCGTCCGATAGGATTATCCATTATTGTTATTATTATGTATACCCAATGTATAACTCATAACTCATATAGGGTGCCCTTCCGCTGGATATCAGCCTCTCTATGTTCGCGGCCGCCTATCACCTGGGTTTGCGGTATGCACATGCTGGGATATGTACCTAAATTGTACCTACATATGTTAGGTACCTACATACCTACAGGTTGTTCCACCGAGCTGGTTCCGTTTGGGCCAGCATATGAGAGAGAGAGAGAGAGAGAGAGAGAGAGAGAGAGAGAGAGGGTATTCATTAACGAATATGTGTATCCTGTAGGTATAGGAATATGTACGTGCCTGTGGGCGGTAGGTGTGTCTGTGCATGCATACAAGGTACGAAGTGCATACACTCATATCTCCCTCGGCGATGTGCGTGTTGGCGGTTTACTTTCAGGGCCTCGCCGCCTCAATTGTAAGGTATACAAAACGTGTTGAAAGCTGAACCTGTTGTTGCTGAATTGAAGGAATTAAGCTAGCTACTCGAAAACAGCTTAAATACAGCATTTTAAGGTCAATTGACAGTTGTGCGTTTTTTTTTTTCAATCTGACCAATCGCAGGGCTCCATTCTGGATGCCTGGATGCCTTAGGTGCCACGGCGATTGAGCACCATCTCAATTGGCGAATTTAGCAAGCTCGCGTAAGTGCATATATATATATATATATATATGTGTGTGTCTGTGGTGTGTGTGTGCTATCGAAGGTAGGAAGAAAAAAAAAAAGGAACGGATCAGGAGAGGGAGGGATACGGACAATAAAGGCACTCGGGGGAAAAGTAGGTACACCAGCTAGCAGTAGAGAGAGGAGAGAGAGGAGGGATGCAGCACCAGCGGCAAGTCGAGTCTCGAGCCCGTGCCGGCCCACCAGCGCAGCACGGCAAGGCGATGTTTCTCTTACGTTTTGGCTATTCCGTCTATTTGGCCTCCAGTGACGCAACCTGGGATGATGCATGAATGCACGAAAGACAAGGCCGGGGCCACCCAGGAGAGCTCACTGCTACGCAGCGATGCGTTCGCTGCTGATTGAAACTAGGATCCCGGCGGGGCACCACGAGGGATTGCTTATTGGTATATACCTGTATGGGATACTTGCATCTCGCCTCTATCGATACTACTACTTTAGCAGCAGTGAGCCTTGGTTACGTGCCACCATAACAGCTTCTACCAAGAACAATCCGGGGGAGACTAAGAGGTTGTCGTCCCTCTTTTCGAACCCATATTTCCCCAGCTATCTTATCTATACTCGCCTCGTCACTTACGTATTAGTATATACCTACCTAACCTATGTATAGTCATATATACATACATGTATACCAGATGTACCTGCTTCTTCTTCTTCTAGTCGAGTGGGAACGGGAAATTTCAATCCGCCCCGTGATCTAAAAAGCGGCGGCTGAGAGAGACGGGAGCTGAAGCCAAGCAGATAAGCGCGGCCGGTTCGAGGTATGTGTATTATAACAACATAGTTTTTTCCAGCGAAGTCTAGTGCGAGATGCAAACTGAAAATAAAAAATAAATACCCGCCATATTGCACGGAGAGGGGAGTGGCGGCTGTTGAGGAGTTCTTTGGTGCCTACTATATACAGAAAATTCATCGCAGACCACCTCCGTCCGCTGCTCATTCTCCCTCAGCCATTCTATAGCCGTCAGGGTTCTTTACCTATCACCCACGAACGCGACAACCACATTACGCAACAGGCTCTCCTTTGTTATCCTAGACACCTCGGTAATCCTCTTCTTTCATAACACTCGTCGTCTCCTTCTTCGCCTTCACTTTCGCCTACGTCTGCCTATTCCTCCGTCTCCAAGGGCTCGTCAATTGCCTACTCGCGAAGCCTACCGGCAAAGCCTACCGACCAATCGTCAGCCGAGGCGCGGTACCGCTCCCTTCTCCCCTCCTCCTTCGGGACAACAAACAAGGGCCTCGTAGGGGGCAGAGGAAAAAAAGGGGGGGAGGAAGAGACGAGAAGGAAAGGATGACTGGGAACCTGACCTCCTCCGGCCGCGGCGGCGCTGGCAACATCGTCGACTCGGCCAAATCCCCCAAGATCCAGCCCGCCGACCTCGAGACGCCGACGCTCAAGACCGCCATCTTCCCCACCGGCCGCGGCGGCTCCGGCAATATGGCGCCCAACGTGGACCCGGCCCTGACTCGGGCACTCCAGGACGTCGAGCCGTAAGTTGACCCGTTCTCGCGACTACAAGTATATATATATATAATATATATATATATCTGGGTATGTGTATGTGTGGGTAGTATCGCTAACGCACCCGCAGCGTCGAGCGTACACCTACTCTCGCCACCCATATCGGGCGCGGAGGCGCCGCCAACGTCGTCAGGACGACGACTACCGGCGGCTCCAGCAGCGAAGAGGAGGCCGCGACGCATCTCCTCGGCGGTGGCAACGAGGGCGGCGCCGCCGCCGCCGCCACGGGGTCCCAGAAGAAGGATGCGGGTCTGGCCACCAAGGCGAAGGAGTTGTTCAAGAAGGCCTAGGGGGCCCTGCGAAGACGAAAGAAAAAGGGGCCGGGAGGAGCAGGGGCGGCGACGAACCCCTCTGTGTAGCGTATGGCGCAGCTGAGGAGAGGGCGCCTAATCGAAGGGCAGAGCGGTCAATACGGAGGGGGGGCAAGGAGTGCGCAAGACCGGACCGCGGTTTCTTGCACGGCTGCCTTTTTTCTTTTCGCTCCCATCTCTTCTGTACCACATCCCGCGACGGAATACCACGGGGATGAGAGGAGAGGGCGAGAGCGGGGTAGCGGCGCGCGTTCTTATCCTTGCCTTTCCTTTTATACCTGGCGTCGGAGGAGGGATTATAGTAGCAATGGACTGTTGTATTGCGGATAGGCGGAAAACAGAACAAGAAGGGGGGGGGTTAGACGAGTTATATTATATGTAGGTGTGTATGCCTACACACGAAAGGAGCGCAAGTTGAGTAGATGGCAATTCAATGTTAACTCATCCATTCTAACAGAGAGAAATATCGTCCGGGTGGCACAAGAAAAGGGCCCGTCAAAAGGCGAGAGTGCAAGTAGGTAGCATATTGGAAAATTAGGATATAGAGGGTTCGCGGCGACCCGTCGGGCTCCCCATCTCCCCGTCTCTCTCCATAGATAGATACACCAGGCCCGGGCTGCGAGCTCCGAATACGGACACGGCCACTCCTCTTGACTCACACAACTGCCCAATCTGGGCCACGCTCACGTATTCTCCCCCTTCCCCCCCCCCTCCTGGGCCGAGCATCTCTTTTTTTTTTTGTCCTCCCCACTCCCCCCTTCCCGGCACCTTTGAAAACGCTAGAGCGAGGGAGAACCACTTGAAGCCACCGACCATGCCAGCGGCCCCGCCCACGCCAGACGTCCTAGTCCACCTCCCGGCCAGCGGCGCGCCCCTGCCGCCGGCGCTCCTCGCGCGCCTCGCGGCGCGGCAGCACGCGCTACCACTACTGCGGCGCCTGCGCTTCGCGGCGCGGGTCGCCGGCGCGACGACGGAGCACGCGCGTGTGCTGTACTGCGGCGGGGGCTTCTCCGCGGCGACGGAGGAACAAGAAGGAGGAGAAGCGCGCGCGGGCGAGGACGGCGCCCCGTTCGCCGCCGCGTACCTCGACGTGTCGCGCGCGCCCGAGACGCAGCTGTGGCTGTACGCGTCGCTCGAGGACGCGGCGCCTGCGGAGACGGAGGAGGCGGCCGAGTGCGCGTGGCGCGTGCTGCGCGAGGTCCGGCGGCAGCACGGCGCGTACGCCGCGGGCGCGGACGGCCCCGCCGCCGTGCTCGCCGGCTCGCTCGGCGAGGCGCTGCGCGCGGCGCTCGCCACCCGCGGCGCCGTCTTCGCCCGCGTCGGCCTCTACGACAAGTGGCTGCTCCGCGCGCGCGGGCTGCCGCCGCCGGCTGCGGCTCCGCCCGGCCTGCGCTGGGGCCCCGTGCGCCGCCGCGACGTGCCCCTCATGCTCGCGCGCACTAGCATCCCGCGCCAGGAGTACGTCTGGTCCTAACCCTCGCCCCCCCCCCCCCCCGTAGCTCTGCGCGCTTACCCCCCCCCCGCTAGGCGCACCGTGGTCCTGCTCCCGAGCCTGGCGCTCTTCCGCGAGGACGACGGCGAGCCCGTCGCCTGGGCGCTTCTAGGTTCGTTGGCCCCGTGCCGTGAGGCCTGTTCTTCTTTTTCTTGTCTTGCCCCTGCGCGTGGCTGGCCTACCTCTCCGCATTTCTGTGCGCGGTTGAAGGGGGGGGGGGGGAGGGGAGGGAAGTAGCCGGCGGCGCGGTGCCTGAACCCGCGCTGGACGAGAGGGCTGACGCGCGCACAGGCCCCGACTCCTCGCTCAGCAACCTGCACGTCGAGCCGGCGTACCGCGGCCAGGGCCTCGCCAAGGCCGTCGCCGCGAAGCTGCTACGCGACCGCCTGCGCGACTACGGGGCCGCCGCCGACGACGGCTACGACGAATACGACGACTACTGCTGGGCCGACGTCGCACCCGACAACCCCGGCAGCCAGGCCGTCTGCAGGAGCCTAGGTGGGCGGATAGGCTGGTCGGTGTCGTGGTAGGTCTCCCCCCCCTCGTGCTTGTATATGCGCAGCATTCCCCTAGTTACGTGCCTACCCTATATACTCTATCGCGTCGGCCTTTAAGTAGCGCAATATTGATAGCGTACGCAGGAGCAGGATAGACCTTGACAAGACCTTCCGGGGCCAGTAACTCTCTATTTTCTTCTCAATTAATCTTACCAGTCTTGGGTTTCGCGAGTTTAGATTGTAGATAGAAGTACTTGTTATTTAGCAGTCAGTCGCTGGATCTCCTGAAGATAGAACCGTAAATCTTCCGGGTTCACCTGCGGCGTGATGCCGTGGCCAAGGTTGGCGATCCACCCCTTTTTGCCGCCTCCGAACCCTTGCACCATCTCCTTCACCGTCTCCGATATGGCATCCCTCGAGCCGTAGAGCACGCCGGGGTCCGCATTCCCTTGGAACACCACCCGTCTAACCCCCCGTATCTCAACAGCTTTGGCCGGCTCGATGAGCCAGTCTAGCCCGACAACGTCGTATCCCAGGTCGCAGATCGAGTCCAGCGCGTAGTTGGCCCCTTTGGGGAAGACGATCATGGGGACAGGGTCCAGCCCCAGCTCCCTCAGCCTCTCGGGCAGGTTCTTCGATATGTAAGCCAGGTAGGGTTCGCTGAAGTGCTTGAAAGTCGAGGGCGAGAGCTCTCCGGCCCACGAGTCGAAGACCTGGATCAGCTGCGCGCCGGCCCGGACCTGCCGCGCCAGATACTCGACGCAGACCTCGGCGATCTTCTGGAGCAGGGCCTTGGTGGCGTCGGGGTGGCGGTAGACCCACTTCTTGCTCTCGATGAAGAACTTGGTGCCGCCGCCCTCGACCATGTAGCAGAAGAGGGTCCAGGGGGCGCCGCAGAAGCCGATGAGGGGCACGCGGCCGCGCAGCTTGCGCCGGGTCAGGGTGATGGCGCGGTAGACGTAGTCGAGCTCGTCGGCGGCGGCGGCGGCGTCCCGGCCGAGGACGCGGGCGTACTGGCCGTCGTCGGGCGACCGCAGCGGGTCCGGGAAGTGCGGCCCCTTCTTGTCGACCATCTCGACGGCCATGCCCAGCGCCTGGGGCACGACGAGGATGTCGGAGAAGATGATGGAGGCGTCGAGCAGGCCGGCGAACCGCTCGATCGGCTGCAGCGTCAGCGTCGAGGCGACCTCAGGGTCGCGGCAGCACTCGAAGAAGTCGCGGTTCCCCTTCGCCTCGTGGTACTCGGGCAGATACCGGCCAGCTGCACAGCAGTGCGTCCATCGTCAGCCGCCGACGATGCGTATACAATTCGATGCCTCCCCCAGGGCCGGGGGGGGGAGGGGTTAGGCATGTATGGCTATGGGTATGTATACTCACCCTGGCGCATGATCCATATCGGCGCGCGTTCTACATCTTCACCTGTTGGGGGGAGGGGCGGAGCTCAAAGTCAGCTCTTCGTACGCCACCACTTCGCCAAGGCGGGCTGCGAAAGGAGGGGTGGGAAGGACGCGTACCCCTCGCCGTCCTCAAGATCAGGTCGTTCGTCAACGGCTCGAACTCGTGGGTCATGGTGTCGACGATGCACGCGGTGGGAGCCCAATTGGGGTGCGGGCAAGTAACTTGGGGAGGGGGGGGATAAGAGGCTAGGGTAGGTATTGACGGTATGGACGGAGAGAGGAGGTAGGTAGAGAGGGTTATTTGTGAAGTCCAGATCTACCGGCCGTTGTGGAAGCTCTTCGTGGGATGATCTCCTGTGAACCTAAGTAGATGCATACAGGGGTGTGTAATTATAGGGGTACGTCCGGGATGGGTAGGGGGTGGGTAGGGGATGCGTAGGGGATGCGTAGGGGATGCGTAGGGGATGCATGGGGAGCATTAGTGGAATGAAATGTGCCCAAGGTGCCTGTAGAAAGGTTGGCAAATACCCAAGTATCGAGATACATAGATAGACATAGCGTAGGCACATTAGGTACATCGTTTTGCATACGTGAACACTCGTTGGCACAAGTACCTGACCTACAGAATCTTACCTAAGATAGGGTATATCAGAATAACAAGGTACCTAATAAGATATCTTATCTCCCGTATGAGTAAGGCGGGGCACGATTTCAGCCCAGTCCACCAATAGGACGGAGGGAATGGGTTTTTCTCTCATCTCGACGTCAAGTTCCTATGGCGAAAAAGGTGTTTATGAGGCAAGGCCACTCTCCATCCGCCTTGTCAACTTGTGCGCTTCCCATCTCTTCCTCCCCCCCAGGGCTCAGCCGACGCAATTTGCTGCGCCGTTCCGGCCAACCAGCCCCCCATTATATGGCCCACGTCCGGTCCGGTCGAGATGGTTCAAGCCGGACTGCTCAGCCTACCTCCTTCTAATCGAGAGAGATTCTGGTCGGCCCTTCCTCCTCCCCCCCTCCATGTCCTCCCTAGCCGCGCAATACTGCCGGGTTGCCCATCGACAACTCCGTCCGCGACACGATGGAATATGGACTCTCGACGCCCTCCTCAGCGCCGCCTTCCAACATTTTTGTATGGTCTCGAGGAAGATTGCCCGCCACGGCTCCTCCGTCCCCGGGCCGATGGAGAATAGGAGGCGCCTGGGAAGGAGACGGATGGGGGAGCTCAATTTCGGACAGCCGCAATGCGCCGCGCCCCCATGGGGGCTCGAAAGCCTTGCGGATCTGACCCAATGGAAGTGGACGCCGCCGACACCAAGCGAGCGGCTTCGAGAAAGCCGCGCCAAGACCTCGTCAGATTCTACTCTGACGCAGATCGTCACCGATTGGCTATCCGGCGTACCTCCCGCGTCTCCCGCGGATCGGCCCAGTGTGGAAGCTCGAGGCGCCCCCGACGGAGACCTAGCGCCAGGCGAAGTCTTGAGTAGCGTAGCCCCGGATCAGGCTGCGCAAGCGGCGCCCGTGGTCGATACCAGGGTCACGTCCGAGGTTCATTGGCGGAATCTGCTGGCGGCTGCCGGGCACCGGGCCCCGAAGGTCATCTGGGGGACGGGAATTGCCCAGGAAGATGTTGTCAGGATGGCGTTAGATGGTATTCTCGGAGACCCGACGGCGCCCGCCAATTTATCCTTTGCGGATTTCTGCGAGAGCTGGTGCGACGGCGTCTCTCGTCTCCTCTTTTCTGGCGAGGCTATCTGCTCTATCTTGGATGCGATACAATTGGGGATAGATACAGAACTATCTGATTCCGGGAGATGTTTGGATCCGAAGGAAGCAGATGCGGCTAAACTAGCAATGCTCCGGGCGACCATCAAAGGCCTATCTGGCCACGGATTCGACGGCCGTAGTGATCTAGACCACATCGTCTGGTGCGATATCTTGCACCGGATTTCCGACTTGAAGATAAACGCCATTGGCATATTTACAAATGCCATGGGAAACATACCTGATAGCTATTTGGGCAGGATGCCCATGAGCATAACAGCAAATTTGCACACCTACATAGCGGCGGCGAAACGTACACGCAGCCGTGTCGAAATCGTCCGGCAGGCCGACCGTATCGCCAAACCCTTGAGGCAACTCAACTCGACCCATCACCTCCATATTCTAGAAAGCTGCACCGCGTATGTGTTGGCGTACAGAGATGAGTATATGTCGACATACGAAGATGAGTCTGTGTCGGCACACACAGACGAGAATTTGTTGGCATACATACGCGACAAAGAGCAAGACTACGCCCAAATGCGTCTAGCTTGGCTGCTACTCTTAGCTAGACTGCCAGGCGTGGACAGCGATCATCTGGTGAGAGTATGCTCCCAACTCGAAGCCGGCACGGGGGCTGTCCCCCTCACCAACAGGGAGATTTGCGAGTTGTACTTGGTCCGGAACCGCTCTTCCCTCGGGAATATGATTGGTCTGTACAATGCGATCCAGGATGTACGAGGCTGTGACAATACGATGCGGTACGGCTGGTTATGCCTCTCCTTGTGGCGGAGAGGAGAATTTGCCCATGTCAAGCGCTTTTGCGAATTTCTCCACGACCTCGGTCGAGAACAGGATATTATGCGTGTCGCTCAAGGGTTGAGGAATGTCGTGAGGAGCCAAGCTAGGCCCCTAGCCAATCTCGCCATCGGCGCACGCGACCCAGTGCTAGCGATAAACTTGTATTCTCTCAGCGAGAAGGGCAAAGGGGGCTCATCCCACTTCTGGAGGGCAAACTTTTCATCCGAAGCCTTGGCGCTCCTCATGCGTTCGCGATCGTTGCGGCACGAAAAAATCTTAGGTGTGCTATACATATTCACCCGCTTTCCGAGAAGACGTGGGGTGAGAGGGCATCGCGACTGGAGAAGAGGTCTTACGAATCGCCAGCTGCACAAGGTGATTAGACTGTCAGTGGCTTTCGCGCAGTCGCGGACCGTCACAAACAGAACGGCGCTGGCACTGATCACGCGCTGTGTTATGCACCTCCAGGGGACCCGTGGGCCGGTGTTGCCAACTCTAGTCCTGAAGGCGCTATTCTACAACATCACCAGGGATCTCGACGAGGGCCGACCGGGTAGAACCACACGGCTACGGTGGTATCTGCGCCTGCTAGGCCAGCGGGACGGCTACGACGAGATGTTGAGGATAAGCGAGCGTCTCGACCGATGGAGAGCCTCCAACGCGCGGCGTCTGCTCTTTCAGCAGCAGTAGTAGAACGGTTTCGAACTACGTGTGTATGTACTCGACGAGGGGGCTCGCGGAGGTGTCCGACTTCTGAGATCGCCGGCGTGTTTAGGGCCGACTGGTCGCCGATCAATCGAAGCCCCTGTGCCAGCCCACGCCGTTTCCCGCATGTACTTGCGTGCAAGCACGGCTCAACCGGTGGAGGCTCGACGGAGAGGCTAGTTGCGACATATAAGCTCCCTACGTCATATATTGAGCCAGGCGCTCGCGGGTTGGCTCGTCGGCTGTCTGGCGTCCACTGACCGGGCCTCGCTAATATATGCGCCGAAGAGGGCGCGCGATCGACGGTGATGGGGCAGGCCAGGCTATTTCCATTCGAGGGACACAAGCACATTTATCACATCGCCGTCGGTCGCACGACAGGAAACTAGAGCCGTCTGCTGCCTGCCTATATCCGTGCTCTGCTTACGCTACGCCGCCACGGAGGAGGCTACAAGCCCGTGTGCTGTTGACGCGCGTCGACCGGGTAGGTCAGGTCGTATATGTACCTGGACTCTTAGGCGCGCGACGGCGGCTCCGGGGACGATCAGCCGGCTAGGCCGTTGGACGTTGAGGTCGAAAGTACCGTACCTGATAGCGTATGAGCAGCCGCTCAGATGGCTCAACTCCGATGCGAGTCAGACAGCGCGATCTCGGTGTAGCAGTAGGATTTGCTAACGGAGGAGGGATATGTTGGGTAGGTAGGCCGACCGCCCAGCCGGGTGGTCCTTTTGTCTTCTCAACTTTCACTCCCCCCGCCACAGAATTCCACTGGCCGGGAGGCGGTACGTCTTTTCTGTACATATTTCCTACCACGATCCCATGATACCTACCCGGGTCCCCGGGAGGGGTGGCGCCCACTCAGCCAGGGTTATGCCTACATACGTGCATACGCGCATAATTACCCTCTGTACTTACGTGTACCTCGTATGTATACATATACTATCCCTACCTGCCTACTCTTTATCCATCCATCCCTCTGCCTACCTACCTCCTCCTCCTCTACCTGTAGGTAGGCATGTACAGGTTTCGAATCACATGTGTTGGGCGTGCACCCCGTGAATTAGGTATACGTAGCCTGGTTTGTATTGGACACATACATGCCTACCAGGTACCTAAGATACCAAGGTACCGATGGGCCTGGCGAACGTAATTCTAGATGTGACCCGGAGAGAAAGCTTGCAGGAGGAGGACTAGGCGAGGAGACAAGACGGATAGGGGAATATATAAAGGCCCCACCAGAGTTCTTGGAAGACAGGAGGCTAAGAAGGGTTGGTAACGGCTAAGAAAATCGCTCGTCGATCTCCCGTCCGACTGTCCATGGCATCGTACCTACATAAGGTTGTATTCGGAGGTACCCAACCTGGCGCCCACCGGAAACCAGGAGGCCCTATCTTGCACGTACCCTTATCCCAGGTACTGATAGCATATAGGTACCTACCTCCAAAGGTAGCTAGGTCTAGGTAGGTAAGGTAGAGAGAGCTGAGGCGGCTCTATCCTCGACACAGAACCACCGTAAGCACCTCACAACATCACAACCGGTGGTGCCTCTAGGGTGGTATGTACCTTAGGTATGTACAACGCTATGGAAAACCCGGGCGCTGTACCGGTGACCCGCGGTGGCTGCCATCCACATCTGGACCCGACGAGTAAGCGGCCAGGGAAGGGGAGTCAGTCGACTACCTACCTAACCTCCTAACCTGTCTGCAGACCTGCGTCAACACGCTCGTACGACATAAGCTCACAGGCAGGTAGCGAACTATCTCATGCCGATCTGCATCCTTCTTTCTTCAGTGTCGGGCATATTGCCTATACCGGGCTAGGACGTACGTAGCTGTCGATCGGCTCAGCTTGTCTCGACACGCATCGCTGTTGTAGGAGATAGGTAGGTAGGCTATATCAAGTCGGGAACGTTACGTGCCCAGGTTGGGGCAATATATACCATAGGGGGAAAGGGGGGGGGTTATCGATACTATGTCTGTAATACTAACACAGTATAAACATGACCTTCATATGATATAATATAAACGAACGCTTTCTATAAGTATAAAGTACTTATAGTAAAAGTTATGATATGGATTTTATTATAATTTAATATAAGTATTATGGTGTAATTACCTTAATAAAGTAAGTATTTATTACTTTTTCGATATTATATAAAATAGCTATTCTATTCTTAGAAAGAGCTATTAGATTAATATAATGTTTATATTATACCTATATCGTATCTTAAGTTTAATTCGCTTTAGTATAACTATAGAAATACTTTTAGTTATAGTAATCCTTTCTAGAGAGGGGAATAGTACTTAATATAGTATCGATAGATCCTTATCCTACCACATAACTCGTATATGAGATAGGAGGTAACTAAAAACGGAAGCATTAGTAACGAAATTAAGTACATAAAATCTCTCCGCCATTTAAAACGTAAAAGGAAAGAAACGAATTATAAATAGATAATATACGTAAAAAATTCCGTGGCCCGTATTATTACTTATCGTTTATTAGTTATTTACGGGACTACCTATACTAATAATACCTATGCCCTAATGTTACGTATATTATTAAGATTATTTGCCTAATTTAAATACCTTTACCCCGTTACTTTACTTTACTTTTCTTCCTTTACTTTACTTTTCTTACTTTATTTTACTTTATACCTTACTTTATTTTCCTACCATAGCGTCTATTCCCGTACTTATTAATTACGCTAGCCTTATCGCCGTACTTAAGACCGAGATTAAGAGGTTCTCGAATAAATTTCTACCTCTTAATAAACTCGAGGAAAAAAGGCTATCGAAGGTAGTAACCGTTATTACGATAAACCCTAATACGATTATCGGGAATAATTACCGTAAAAAGAATAAGCGGATCTTAATTAAGTTAAAATTAATCTCTCTCGAGACCTTCTTCTTATACGTTATCGGTATAATCCTTTACGCGATTAATAAACTACGCTAGAATTTAAGGTTACGCCGGGATACCTTTTTTAATGCCGTTTCGAACTAATAAAATATTACTACTAAACTAAACGACCTAATTCTAGCGACGAAATACTACCTTTAACTCCTAACGAAAGATCCCGCCGAGTAGCGTTCCCGCGAGAGTTCCCTACGGCTATCGCTATATAATTTTCTGGATTTTCTAAAGGATCGATACGGGAATACGCCGGTAATAATCCGTTACTTATTCGATAATCTCTCGCTACCGTATCTACGCCTTAAAAGTAATTAAAGCGAGGAATAAGGAATAAGGATAGAGTTTAATTAAAGCATAATAAGCGCGCTTATAAAAGCGTACGGACTTATAAACTAATAAATAAGTAATTATAGGATATTTACTCTAAAGCGTTTTATATCCTTTAGGCGTATATTTAATAGTTTAGTTTTTATACCTTTAATTAATTAATTAGGTTTACCTTTTAACTCGTTTTACGTACCTTACGATTAAGGTAGCGAGGCTACGAAAGGAACCGCTACTAAAACGTATACCTTTACGTACGTCGGTCGGTTACGTATATATATTATAATATTATTAAGCATTTAGTTACTAATAGCTTAGCCGTCGAATAAGAGGCGCTAAGTCGTTTACGCTATATCGCGACATTCTTACGTTCGAGCTCCATAGGGAATATACGTATGGTCCTTTTTTTTAAAAGGATTAGCTTTCCTTATCTCGTATTAGCCGTAAACGACGAGCTTATAGGGTTAAGAAATATTCGCCCGTTCCCTATATAACCTAATTATAACTATAATAAAAGGTAAGTAAGACGAAATAAAACGCTACGGATCGTTAGTTCCTACCTTAAAAGAATATTATCGGAAGGAAAGGATCCGGGGAAAATCCGGGGGTACTTATAAAGTCCCGAAATCAGGGGCTTAAGTATAAAAGCATTAATACCGGCGGCTCGGAAGCGCTACGTTATTACGCTTAAATAATACTTATTCGCCGAAGCGACGATACTAAGGTATTTAATTATAGTTCCTATTCGTACTTATTTAAAAGGCGAATAAAAAGAAATAGTAGTAGCGAGGAATTCATACTTTACCTTAAGCCTATACCTTCTTATCCGTTATTAATTACTTCGTTATTCCTATAATTATAATTACTTACTACGATAAAAAATACCGTCTTCGTAACGTATATATATCTAGTTATCGGAACCGAAAGCTTCGACGTAGTAAACTTCGTAATTAAGTTAGGCGTAAATAACGATCGTTATATCGTAAAAAGGCGGAAGCGCTAGCCCTTAGCCGTTATAGAACCCTAGCTCGCCTATAACTATTAAGACCGAGAGGCGACGTAAGAGCTTAAGGAATACGATAGCCTCGAATACGTAACCTATTAAAAGATAAACCTCGACTAAATCCCTACGACCTTTTACGGCCTTATTAAAGGCTAGGACCCTAAGGCCGATTTTACCTTTCTTATAATCCCCGGGGTTAGCTTCCGTTATATTTCTTTTACCTTTAACGATAACTACTACTTTATCGTACGAAACCTCGAATTAAAAGCGGGAACGTTTATTATATATAAAAGAAAGAACTAAAGGGCGCGGAATAATCGTAATTAAGTTATTAAAGGAAACGATTTTTTAAAAGAAAAAGGCCTAATTATAATTAAGGTTACGTAAGAGCTTTAGTTTCAGGTCGTCGTAAAAACATTTAACATTAACTCCGAAGCTTTTAGGGTTAAGGTTAATAGGTTCCGTACCGGCAAGGCCGGCCTAAATAAAACCTTCGATAATTTCGGTATCCGTTCCGTAACGCGTCTCCTTAATAAGATATATACGCCTATTAACGATAACGTCTTATTAAAGAAAAAGCTCGGCGAAGGAAGCTATATAATAATCTATCGTATTTAAAATGCTATAACGCGGGAGTTATATGCTTTTAAGGAGCCTAAAAAAGGATTAAAAAAGCCTTATAAGGCATAGAAGAATAAGGCTATACTTATAGAAAAGATCTCTTATATTAATATTTATCCCT